GATATGGCAAAGAGAAGCAATAAAATGCTTCCTTTAAGTGAAAAGGTGAAAATTCTTGATTTAATAAAGAAAGAAAAAAAATCATATGATGGGGTTGCTAAAATATACATTAAGAATGAATCTTCTGTGCATGATTGTGAAGAAGGAAGAAGAATTTGTGCTAGTTTTGTGATTGCACCTCAAACTACAAAAGTTATGGCCACAGTAAGTGGTAAGTGCTTAGTTAAGATGGGAAAGGCTTTCAATTTGTGGGTGGAAGACATGACCAGAAACATATTCTCATTGATGGTAGTTGAGTTCAGTACTATTCATGGTTTCGGGCATCCACTGGGGGTCTTGGAACATATTCCATGGGCATAAGAGGGCTCTATTGTACAGGCATTAGACATGAGGATATCTTAATTCTACTTTCTTGCATTGCCAGCTCATCAGTGCAGCAGCTTTAATTTGAATCATGAAATCATACAAAGCCTCTGTGACTGGTTTGCATGCTTGAACTTATCTGCATTTGCACTAAAAGATTTTTTAATTTTACTTCTGATCATTAGCTACCCCAAATTATCAGTTTTACTCATATCCTTTAGTAACATATTGCAGAGTTTGATCTAAATCTTGGAGTGACTCTTTATACTTTTTTTTTTTTTTTGAGACAGAGTCTCGCTTTGTTGCCCAGGCTAGAGTGAGTGCCGTGGCATCAGCCTAGCTCACAGCAACCTCAAACTCCTGGGCTCAAGCAATCCTACTGCCTTAGCCTCCCAAGTAGCTGGGACTCCAGGCATGTACCACCATGCCTGACTAATTTTTTCTATATATATTAGTTGGCCAATTAATTTTTTTCTATTTATAGTAGAGATGGGGGTCTCGCTCTTGCTAAGGCTGGTTTCGAACTCCTACCTCGAGCAATCCTCCCACCACGGCCTCCCAGAGTGCTAGGATTATAGGCATGAGCCACTGCACCCGGCCATGACTCTTTATACCCTGGCCACAGTTCCTGCATGCTGCTTGAATAGTAGCATTGTAGATCATGGCTAAAACTCCACTTCTTTCTTCTATGTAATTTTAAAAGAGTCAATATTGTAAAGTAATCAAAGGCAGTTTGGCAGGATCTATTAATTTTCTGTGCATTTACCTTTTGTTCAGCATTTGCACCTCCAGGAATCAATGTTGTAGAAATTACTACTATGTACGCAGAAAAGATACACAGAGGGTGTACATTTGCAGTGATACTTTTATAGTGAAAAATAAAAATAATGTAAATGTCTACCTGTAGGGAAATTGTTCAATAAGCTATGGTACATTCATATAATGAAATCAGCAGTTATTACCAAGAATGAGGTAGACATGTATTCATATTTAAAGATGGAAAGAAGCAAATTGTGAATACACAGAATATATTCTCAGTTTTAGAAAAACAAAAAATGTTAAGATACATTTATGCTTAGGAAAATTTAGAGGGGGATACATGGCAGTATTAACATGGGAATGTCTGGGAGTTGGGTGGGGACATGGTCTTTCACTTTCTTATGTACTTCTGTATTTAAATTTTATACAATGAGCATGTTAATTTTCAAATTGAGAAACATTTCTTTTAAAATAATGAATAAGGAACTCTTACTATAACATTGCAGATAATAGTTGAGTATTTATTTTCAAAGTACAGTCATTTGCATCACAACAATGTTTTGGTCAGTGATGGACCCCCCCCCATATAAAATGGTGGTACATAGATTATATTGGAGCTGCTCTAAACAGGTGTACCATTTTTTATCTTTTGTACTATGCTTTGACTCTTACCTTTTCTATGTTTAGATATGTAGTTACTTACCATTGTGTTACAGTTGCTGATGGTATTCAATATAGTATCATGCTGTACAGGTTTGTAGCTTAGGAGCAATAGGCTTTACTTATAGCCTAGGTATGTGGTAGGCTATACCATCTAAGTTTGTGTAAGTACACTGTATCATGTCGGCACAACAATGAAATTGCCTATTGTCAGAACAAATCCCTCTCGTTAAGCAAAGCATGACTGTATTCAGAACATGTTAGAGACTCCACTTTTTGTAATCTCCTTCAGAACCATTTAATAACCTCAGTTTTTATCTCTTTTTGCTGATTCTGGTGATCTAGGCTCAAACAGCAGTCACTTGGAGCTAAACTAAGACTTTAAGAAGCAATTAACTATAAAAATTGCTTTTTATGCTGCCAGTCTCATGACCAATTAGAGTGTAGCCATTAAGACATCTTAAATCATTAATAGTACAAATAATACTAAGTTCTAAGGGAAAGTTTTGAATAAGAGGTAGGATAAGGGTTGTCATGAAAAAATTATTTCCGTTGGTGGTCATAGTATTGTGAAATATAGGCACAGAAATAAATCATGCTGTCGTGTATGTTCAAGGGAGAGATTAATTTTAGTGTGAATGACCTAACTACCACATTGATCAATAGGAGTTAGCCAAAGTGGCCTCAGAAGGAATGGTATGAGTAAAGAAGTTGGGAAAGCAATGTATAGGTTATTAAGTATGAAATGTCCAGTTTCCTTAACTATCAACTTTGACAGTTGGTCTCTCTCACATTTCACTTTGATACCTCTTGTTTTATTTTTACTGTGAAGGTACATCCTCAGTCTTGCAAATGCACCTTTTGGCTTGTGATTATCTTTAAAAAAATTTTTTAAGAGCAAGTTTTGTGAAACCATGGATAAGTAAAAAAATTCGTGTTATTTTCTAATATGAGTTCCGTCATGGAATCAGTGCAGCACAGACAGCTTGAAATATTAACAAAGTATTTGGGAATCATGTGGCTAATGAACACACAGTACATGGATGGTTTGAGAAGTTCATTTTGGTGATTTTAATCTTGAAAATGAGCCATGTGGGTGACCTGAGATGTAAGTGGATAATGATGAGCTGAAAGCTGTAGTGGAAGCGAATCTATCTCAAACTGTGAATTTAGCAGCAAGGTTTATGTTACTATTCCAACACATTGGACCATTTGAAACAAATTAGCAAGGTAAAGAAGCTGGATAGGCTGAGCGCAGTGGCTCACGCCTGTAATCCTAGCACTCTGGGAGGCCGAGGCGGGTGGATTGCTCGAGGTCAGGAGTTCGAAACCAGCCTGAGCAAGAGCGAGACCGCCGTCTCTACTATAAATAGAAAGAAATTAATTGGCCAATTAATATATATAGAAAAAATTAGCCAGGCATGGTGGTGCATGCCTGGAGTCCCAGCTACTCGGGAGGCTGAGGCAGTAGGATTGCTTGAGCCCAGGAGTTTGAGGTTGCTGTGAGCTAGGCTGATGCCACGGCACTCACTCTAGCCTGGGCAACAAAGCGAGACTCTGTCTCAAAAAAAAAAAAAAAAAAAGAAGCTGTATAGATGGGTTCTGCATGAATTAAATGAATGTCAGAAGATGGATGGATAAAGATGAAGTGCCAAAACACAGTTCAAAACTGAATGAATATTCATCAAAAAAAGCTAATGGTATCTGTTTGGTGGTCCAGTACTGATATTATCCACTACAGTTTCATGAAACCTAATTAATCAATTACAGCAAATGTCTGCTGCAACCATTTGGATGAAATGATGAAGATGCTTGGATTAGGCAGGTGAGATTGGTCAATGAATAGAGACAGGCCAGTTGTGGTGGCTCACACCTGTAATCCTAGCACTCTGGGTGGCCGAGTTGGGAGGATTGCTCGAGGTCAGGACTTCGACACCAGCCTGAGCAAGAGCAAGACCCCATCTCTACTACAAATAGAAAGAAATTAATTGGCCAACTAAAACTATATAGAAAAAATTAGCCGGGCATGGTGGTGCATGCCTGTAGTCCCAGCTACTCGGGAGGCTGAGGCAGTAGGATTGCTTGAGCCCAGGAGTTTGAGGTTGCTGTCAGCTAGGCTAATGCCACGGCACTATAGCCCTGGCAACAGAGTGAGACTCTGTCTCAAAAATAAATAAATAAATAAATAAAGACAGGTCAATTCTCTTGAAAGACAATGCTCAAGCACATCACACAAACAACGCAGCTCAAACCACGGAAGCTGGACTCAGAAACTCTCTCATTCATTGTATTCACCAAACCTCGCATCAACTGACTACTGCTTCTTCCAGACTTTGGATCACTTCTTGCAAGGAAAAATATTCAATTCTCAACAAGCTGTGGAGGACACCTTTGGTGATTTCATCACCTCTCACTCTCCAGGCTTCTTCGCTGCTGGCATAAACAAAGTACTGTTAAGATGGTAAAACTGTGTCTATAGTTTAGGCATATACTTTGATTAATTGTACTACTTCTTGTTTGAGATACAATAAACTATACTTCTGATTCACAATGGGACATTTCATATTTAATGACCTAAAATATGTAAAATACTAGGTTGGGAAACTTACAGGTCAGCTATAGTGGGCAAATGGTTTTATCAGTAGTTGGTTAGTCACCATCACTTAACTGTTACTATACCAGAATTGCTGATCTGACTACAGGTTGCTGCTTATTTTTCACTTTTTCAAGTATAAATCCTGGTTCACTGAGAGTTTCCTAGTCTCTAACTTTACTGACATTTCCAAGGCTCTATTATAACTAGGCACACTCAATACGTATAGGTTTGAACATTGACAAGCATACTTCACGTTCAAGTTGAGGTCCATATAGATTCAGGGTATCCTTAGTCCTGTTTAAATTACATCTGCTACTTCTCTGTACCCCTGTGTTTAGTGTTTCCAGTGCTACTGGGTATATTAAATAATGTTTGGTCTTTAGTAATTTTTTTTTTAATGGTAGAGAGGGAAGCTGTATTTGAACTTGGAGTGGGACATTTATTTTACCTAAAAGTTTTGTTATGGCACAGAATCTAGATAGGATATATCTATAGGGTATCTACCTACTATATATAGACATTATATTTGTATAGCCAATATTTTAGTGTAAGTACTTATTTTTAATTGATTAAAAGACAAAAATGAATGGAATTCTCTTTGATGCAACTTTTTTCCCCCCAGACCAGAATCCGTAGAAGCTAGCCCTGTGGTAGTTGAGAAATCCAACAGTTATCCCCACCAGTTATATACCAGCAGCTCGCATCATTCACATAGTTACATTGGTTTGCCCTATGCGGTAAGTGTCAAATATTTCTCTGGAAGGATATTTTTAAAATTTAAAGGTTGAAAGTAGATATGTATGGTATTGTACTTAAAACTTCATATTTAAAAAGCATATTTGTTTTATACTCTATAATTAGATATATAACTTAGAGTTTAGTTTTTCATTAAGCTTACTGTATTGTTTAAGGGATTAAAATTTTATGAGAGAAACTCTTATTATTTTCCAATTTATGCTGTTAATAGTTTGATGTTATATTTCTCTACTCTCTCTATAAGAAGACTATAGTTAAGGTTTGTTGTACTATCTATCTGCTGTTAATTCTGATTATATATATAGTAATTTATATAGTTACCATTTATTGAGAACTTATTATATTTGAGAATCTCTGCTAAGTATATTTACTTACATAATCTCATTTAATCCTCAAAAACAACCACATGAGATATCATTTTCTTCTCTGTTTCATAGCTCAGAAAAATGAAAGCTTATCTAATTTAACTTATTCAATATTACATAGCTAGTAAAAAGCAGAGTTTGGATTCAAACATAGTTGCAGAACTGGACACATTTGTTATTATGAAGGTACAATTATGAGAGATTTTTACTACTTGGACCAGAATAAAAATCACCAAATTTTTAGAAAAATCATATATACCTTATAGTGATAATATGCCTTTGTTGTTTTTGTTATTCTTTAGCCTCCATATTTCTGAGTGTTATTTATTTATTAATTTACCTCTATTCTCACATCTTGCACCTTTCATCTTGAAGGTGGAGCTGTGTGACTGTGAAGATACCTTCTGATTTGGTGGGGAGGGAGTAAGGTTTAGATGTGAAAATGACCATCCTCACCTTAAAAATAGATATATTCACTTACTACTGGGGTTTAACATCTACCGTGTTTCCCCGAAAATAAGACCTACCTATAAAATAAGCCCTAGCAGGATTTCTAAGCATTTGCACAATATAAGCCCTAACCTGAAAATAAGACTTAGCAATGGGCATGGCTACGCAGCGTACCTGCACAACCCATGCATTTCATCACAGAGCGGTAAAGAAGAGGAGCAGGCCTTCTCATCTGCCCCATGAGAGCTCTATTGCTTGACATGAGAGATTGGGGCCAATGGTTCTAAAGGAAATAGAGTCGCAAGAAATTCAGGATGGAATTGGGGTTTGGAGAAGTTATGATAATGTTCCAGAAGAAGACGACTTAACTATATTTGGATAAATGTAGATTGTTGTACTGTACTTAAAAAAAATAACACATCCACTGAAAATAAGCCCTAGGATGTCTTCTTGAGGAAAAATAAATATAGGACCCTGTTTTATTTTTGGGGAAACATGGTAGCTTCACCGAGTCATTATTTTAGTGGTATTTAAGGAACAAGTAAACCATTTTTGTATCTCTTGAGTATTCAAATTAAAGGTTGAATTTTATTTAAGTTGCTTAGTTCATAACATAGTTGAAATTAAATAATACGTGCTATGTTTGTGTTCAATTATCCAGGACCATAATTATGGTGCTCGTCCTCCTCCAACACCTCCGGCTTCCCCTCCTCCATCAGTTCTTATTAGCAAAAACGAAGTAGGCATATTTACTACTCCTAATTTTGATGAAACTTCCAGTGCTACTACAATCAGCACATCTGAGGATGGAAGTTATGGTACTGACGTAACCAGGTGCATATGTGGTTTTACACATGATGATGGATACATGATCTGTTGTGACAAATGCAGGTAAAATGTTTCACACCATTAATTTATTTTTCTTGAATGCTACTAACTTATTAATGTTGGAAAACATAAAGCACTTGAAGAACTAATGAATGTTTATTTCAAGTAGGACTTCTGCTACTATTGATGCAGTTTATTTTATTCCTAGAAAAGGCCTCTTTGTGAAAATTTTCTTAGAAATCCTTACTGTTAACTGAGTTATAGGCAATCCTTTGTGAACTTTATTCCTGCAGGATCACATCTCTCTTTTCACTTAGTTTAGTAGTAATACAAGTACATATAGTAGCAGATAAGATAGAAATGAGAGTAGAGAGTCCTTTGTATTTCCTTTGGAATTATTTGTGCTATATAGTCAACTGTGATTTTCCAGTTTGGGGGAATTAAACATTTTGAATGATGCTTGTTTGACCTGACTCTCTCACCTCCTTTTGACTTGAACCTTGCAGCACTCTGGAGTCTCCTTGAACCAGAACCACAGTCTCCCCTCCCCCAACCCTGGTTCAACCACCAAGAAAGGCCTCCTCCCCTAGAGAAGGTGTGATTGGGACAGAAAGCGGGGTTTTATTTCATTTTTGGTTTTTGATTGTTTTTTTTTTTGTTTGTTTGTTTTTTTGTTTGGTTTTGGGTGTTTTGTTTTATTTTTATTTTTTTGTTGGGAGGGATTTGGGAGGATGGAGAGGGAATAGTAGGATTTCAGCCTGAAAGCTACTGAGTTTATCCCTTGCATAGGGTGGGGAGCAGATAGTATTTAAGCAGGGCATTAGTAGAGCACAAGAAAGTTTGATAGCTTTACAGATTGTTCTGCGTCTGGGCCTTATGGTATAGCTTCATTATTTGATGTGAAGTAATATAGCATTCACACATAGTTGAATGTGAGTATAAAAATGAATCCTAGAGATAAGTATAAATTACTTTGCATTATTTGTAATGGTGTTCCCATCTATTAGATTAGGTGATTAGCAGTTGGATATTATTGACACAAACATACAGTTAGGATTATATTTTAAAAAGTTCATTTATTTTTGCCAAAAAGTGGGAAATTAAAGTGTTAATTGGAATGTGAAATTTCGTATTTTTATGGAAAGTTGTAATATTAATACTCTGAGTATGTTTTAATAATAGGAACATATTGTATCTTTTCATATTTAAAAATAAATTCTCATTACTCATGATAGCTATCATTACCATGAGTAATGATTTCAGTAAATTTATTCAGGAGGTAAATATAAAAACTAAAAAATATGCAGATGTGACAAACTAACCAGGGAAAAAATTAATAAAATAAAAACTAAAAAATAACTTTAGTAACACATTGCTTTCCTCATAGAAAATGTCAAATCATATTGTAGCCCATCAAATAAAAGACCTCTCTCTTTTATCAGACAGCTGACCCTGTCTGATGTGATAAATTACATACAATTTGGCAGTGGCTTTATTTTATTGTAATGTATAATCTTAGCAATGCTTTCTTTTTTATTTAATTGCAGTGATCTATATATAATATACATTTATCTCTTAGAGAATAGCGAAATTGTCATTAGGTTTTGTATATCCATCTACAAATTCCTTAAGTACTATTTCGCAGTTTCTGTATTATTCAGGGTATTTGCTTCTGAGCAGCTGCTTTTTGTTATGAATCTATTTTCTGCTATTCTATTTTTCTATTGCTCAACCTGTAGTATAATACAGGGCTTAATCTTTTTTCTTCTTATTCTTACTTTACATTGCTTCTTTATGTTTTTTTATGTTCCTACTGCCCATATTTATCCTTTTCAAGTCTCACATCTATGGTTATAATTATTCATTTTTTAGTTATAATTATTCATTTCTTCTGTTGTCTATGTGACATCATTACTTAGCCCACAAATTTAACTTATTTTGTTATTCTAACCCTCATTGTCATTTGCCTTGCTTTTCTTTGTCACTTTTTTCACTTCTTTGATATGTATTCTATTACTTTCCACATTCTATCAGTTCTTGCCCCAACATTCTTAACTGAGAAGTAAAGAACAACAGAATAGCAGTTAGTTTAGTATAGTTATCCCCCTTACCTGCGGAGTGTATGTCCCAAGTCCCCCAGTGGATGCCTGAAACTGTGGATAATACTGGAAAAAATTTTTTACTATGTTTTTTCCTATACATAAATACCTATGATGCAGTTTAATTTATAAATTAGGCACCATAAGAGATTAACAACAATACATAATAAAATAGAACGGTTATAACAATATACTGTAATAAAAGTTATATGAATGTGGTGTCTTTCTCTCTCTTTCTCTGTTAAAATAGCTTAATATTTTCAGACTGCCATTGACCATGGATAACTGAAACCACAGAAAGTGAAACTGTGGATGGTAGGGGACTACTGTAGTTATATATTTGAAGTGGCTACTTATTTTGTAAAGACTAGTTAAGACCATTTTTGGAAACAAGTGTATATATTGACTTGAGAGAAATTAAAGTCTTGGCAATAAAGTAATACAATAGTAATAACTTGAAAAGTTTATCTCAAGCTTGTCCATGTATTTCATTAGAAGTAATTAGGTTTAATCTCTCCTCATCTAATGCCTCTTGTAGTCTTTAACTTCTTTTTCCCTGCTATTTTTCTGGTTCTGTCCTTCTTCAACTCAAGTCTGGAATGTTGGAAAAGCCTCTTTAGTTGCTCTTTCTGCTTCCAGTTTCTTAACTTTTTTGAATTAATCTTGTATGCCATGACAGCACCTCTATTACCTACTGACAGAGGAAATCGACACACATCCAAGTCCTATATAATCTGATATTGCACTTCACTGATCCAATTTTATTCCCCTCTGTTTCTCAAAATGAATATTGACTTCATACATATAGACCTTGTGGCCACCTTCTCTCTTTTATTTGTTTTTTTGGAGACAGAGTCTTATTCTGTCACCCCAGCTAGATTGCCATGGCATCATCATAGCTCACTGCAACCTCAAAATCCTGGGCTTAAGTGATTCTCCTGCCTCCTGAGTAGCTGAGATTATAGGCACACATTGCTATGCCTGGCTAATTTTTCTATTTTTTGTAGATATGAAGTCTCACTCTTGCTCGCTCAGGCTGGTCTTGAACTCCTGCCTCAAGCAGTCCTCCTGCCTCACCCTCCCAAAGTGCTAGGATTATAGGCTTGAGCCACTGCTTGCGGCACCTGTTTGTATCTGCTAAATGATAATTCATAAACATTACTACAGTGATGCTTTTTTTTCCTATTCCCTAAATGAAGTTCTATTCAAGTGCATTATTCTCCAAGAAGCTTTTCCCATTAACTCCAAGTAGTATGGACATCTCCATTTTGTGATTTCTAATAATGTTTTTTTTATTTTAAAACTGTGTTGCTTTAAAAACTTGTTTATCCTATATTTGTCCTCTTGTTTTTGCATCTCAAAATTTTATCTCTCAGAAGACACATTTCTGTGAATTACAGCATCTTTTAGAGTGCTAAGCTCACAATAGGCACTTACTAAGTGATAGTTAAATGGAATATGAAATCTTAATTTAAGGATGATTTTAATAATATATGTGTTCTGCCTTTTTTTTCTTTTTCAAGTGTTTGGCAACATATTGACTGCATGGGGATTGACAGGCAGCATATTCCTGATACATATCTTTGTGAACGTTGTCAGCCTAGGTAAGTTTCACATATCCGATAAAATTGCCAGTAATTTTACTGAGCTAATATTTTGTTAACAGAAATTTATTTATGAATTCTAGATTAAAGTGTTACTGAATCACTGTATTTTATCAATTCTATGATATACTTTTCCATTTTTATGTTTATTATTTTTGTATTCTGACATCTCTAAGATCAGGACAAATCTTTTCATTGATAGTGTGTCAGGGTTTACTTTGTATGGTTTTTACTCTATTAATGATGCATAAAATAATAGTACATCTTCTAAGTGATGGCATTTTTTTTTCACTGGAATATATTATGTTAAAGAGTTACTAGAACACTGCCTTGGGTATAGAATTTGGTAGGTCTATCATTCTTCCTGTTTTCAGTATGTTTGTTCCCCTATTTATTTTTTGTTATTTAAAATTTTTTTATTGTGGACATTTCAAACTTACATAAAAGTAACATAGCCCATAATGAACTCACATTTCCATCACCCTGTTTCAGTAATTATGTTTTTAAATATATAATGCCATGTATTTCTTTTCCCTTTACATAGTATTTTTAGGCAAATTCCAGATGATATATTATTCCACCCATATATATTTAATTATATATGTATTTCAGTATATATCTGAAAAGAAAAAATAATCACAAAACCATTATTGTATATACAACTAAATCTCTGGCTCTTCTAGCCACTATTATAATACTGATTGGTTGATTTGCATCTCTAGTAATCTGAACCTATTCCTCTCACCCCACCCCTGGTCACCTTTGCAATATGTTTAAGGAATTCAGTTTTTTTGTCCTGATGAATTTTGCTGGTTTCAGCCTCAGGATTTTACAATTGCCTTTGTATTTCTGTGCAAAGGTATATATATCTATAGGCTTGGTCAGATTTAGATTTGTTTTGTAGGATTACTTTCATTTTCTAAAAATTTTATTTTTATTTATTTTTTAATTTCAGAATATTATGGGGATACAAATGTTTTGGTAACATGTCTTGCCAGTTTGGTTACATGTCTTGCCAGTACAGTTTGAGTCAATGTTCTAAGTGTGTCCATCATGAAGGACTATTTTCATAAACTGTGTTCTTCTATCTTGAGATATCTAGTTGTCTATGATGGGAGTCGTTGATAGTCCTTAGATGCATTAATTTATTAAGGGTTACAAATTAGTTATATGTTAATTCTATTGTTCATCACTTATTAGCTAGAATATTTCTATGGGAACAAACTTTCTCATATTAACTTTTCAGTTCTCTTGAGATACATTTCAGTGAGGAAAGGTAGAATAAATGCTTGTTGATTCTTAGCCTATATTTACCAGTTTTCAGAGTAATGAAAAAATTTTAAGAATTATCATGAACTCATGAATTTAAAGGTAGTGGATATCAGCCTCTTGCAGTTATCATCCTTATTTATGCTTAAATTTCATTCCATTTTCAGCCAAGTTGGTTCTCTTCAAGTTAGTTTTAAAGTCTCTTTGACAATACCCTAGTAGACCTTGATAGCTTCTTTGCTATCTGATATGACAAGATGTCTCAGGCTTATCTTAGACTTCTGTGCCCCAAACTCAGAATTGACTTTCAAGACCAGAATTGCAGGACTAGTAATGCTCCTTCGTACTAGATTGCTCACTATCTCTATTCTTTTTAGTAGACAAAGTTAGGAAGTATGTTCTGTTTATTTTTAAGATAAAATACATGAGCTTATACTGATAATTGCAGTTAAAATTTAGGAATACAAGTTTTTATTTAACCATTTTTTATATTGCATCTGTATCTTTTTTTATCCTAGTTTGCAATAACACCAAGAATAATGTAATTAGAATATCACATAATTACTCAATTGCTTAATCTCACAGAAGAATACCACAGTCTCAGAGTAACAATACCAATAGGAGATCAACAATATGATTATATAATGCAGTTTAGAAATTTTTTCCCTACAGGTTATATATAATATATATCCAACAAAGGATTTATAGTCCATTTATTGGATTTAAAGTCCCTTGAAATAATTTTACTGTTTGGTTATTACAGCAGCTGGATGCACATTGCTGGTTTTCTTTTTGATTTTTTAAAATGAAACTTTTTGAGTTAATTTTAGATTTACATGCAGTTTTGAAATAATGCAGAGAGATCAGGTGTATCCTTTACCTAGTTTCCTCCAGTGGTAACATCTTACAAAACTATTAATATCATAACTAGGATGTTGACATTTATAACAGTCAAGTTATAGAACATTTTCTATCACTACAAGGATACCTCTTTCTCCACCACCGTGTTCAGCAAAAAAAAAATAAAAAAATAAAAAAAATAAAAAAATAAAAAAATAAAAAAAAGGATACCTCTGATGCCATATCCAACTCCTACTTCCCAACCCTGTACTTTGGCAATCATTAATCTAGAATTCACTTCTATAATTTTGTCATGTCCAGAATGTTCTATATATGTGTGTGTATATCACCCAGTATGTTACATTTTGGGATTGGCTTTTTCATTTACCGTATTTTCCTGAGAGCCATTCAATTTGTTGCATGTATCACTATTTCATTCTTCTTTATTGGTGAGTAGTATTTCATGGCATGTATGTACCACAGTTTTGTTTAACCATTTACCTATTGCAGACCATTTGGATTTGTCCACTTTTGTGGCTGTTACAAGTAAAATTACTGTGAACAATTATTACTGTGAACAAAAATTACTGTGAACAATGATGGACAGGTTTTTTTGAGAACCTAAATTTCTTTTTTCCTCTGGTATAAATGCCAAAGAGTTCAATAGCTTGGCTATCTGGTAGATAGATGTATGTGTAGATTTATAAGCAATTGTCACATTGTTTCCCAGAATAGCTATACCATTTTATCCTGTCAGAAATGTAGAAGTAATCAGTTATTTTTTATTTTAAGACTTGCTTTTTATATTTTATTTACTTTTACAGTTATGTACTTTATAATTACATATGTAGTTCTGTCCTTCTAAAGTCAAATATATAAAACAAGGTATATTCACATAAGTCTAATTCTATGCCTGTTCCTTCTGACATAAGAGTAATCATTTTAAAAAAATTATTTTTCCTTCCATTGCTTGTTTTATTATATTCAGATATGTGTCTATATATTTGTATTTCCCTCCTTATTTGGGTAAGCAGTAGCATATTATCCAGTGCCTTTGACATATTTTTTGGTATATAATTCTTAAAATTATATACTGAAGATTACTTTCTGGTAGTATAATGGAGATTGACTCATTTCTTTCTATAGCTTCAATGTACTCTGTCTTTTTTATGTAGTCTAGTTTATCAGTCATTCCCAGTGGGTGGACATTTGAGTTTTTTCCAGTCTTTTGTTATTACAAATAGAAGTCAGTTTGTTAAGTAAAAGGGCAAATGTGTATGTAAAATTTTGTAAGATATTGATAAATTCCCCTCTAGTAGGAGCTGTACAATTTTGAATTGCAACCAGTAATGGATAAGCATTCATGTTTTCCCAAGCCTTACAATAGTGTTTGGAAGACATGGATTTTGGTCAGTTTAATTAGGTTAGAAAAGGTAAACTCAATGTAGTTATAGTGTAGTTACATTGTATAACTACAATGTAGTTACATTTTGTATTTCTCTTATTGTATTTCTCTTATTCTATTTGGTTTTGTTTCACTTTATGATAGTCATTAGCTATTAGCCTTTTGCCAGATAATTTTTGATGGGGTAAATATCTGTTGATTAATTCAGTGAGAGTTGGTTAAAAACTGACCACTAGGAAGGCACATAATTAGAATATGTGCCAGTCATTTGAGAAAGATCTGTTCATCATTGTGATAACTAGGATAATTATTGGTGATGCTTGGGTAATTAATTACATGTCCTAGTAAACATTAAGGCAAGTCTGCTAGTGAGTTTTAGACATTTTAATCTAGATCCCTTATTTTCCCATCTAAGAATAATCTGGTGTTATTTGGCCTCTAGACTAATAAGTATATACAGTGAGAATGTTGGGGGAAAAGTAAAAAGATCACAATGGATGATGTAGTTCATGGGTAGAGGCTAGAGGAGGTTAATGAAATATTTCACTTGTTACATGTTCAGTGTTTATTATTTCAAAAGTGATGAATGGTAATAATGCAATAGATTGTAATTCAGTGTCATACGTTTACTTTAAGAAATTTAGTTTGTCATTTTAATTACATTGTTAATTACAGTTTTTTCAGACTTTTTGCTGTAAATAATTCAATTTGAAAAAAAAGTGTTTCTTAAGTTAAAAATTATTCTTTTGGAGACAAGATCTTACTGTGTCACCCAGGCTGGAGTGTAGTGGCATGATCATAGCTCACTACAGCCTCAAATTCCAGGGTTGAGGCAGTTCTCCTGCCTCAGCCTCCCAAGTAGCTGGGACTACAGGCACACACCCCCAAATGTAGCTAATTTTTTGTTTTTCATTTTTTGTAGAGACAGGATCTCGCTAACTTCTCCGGGCTGGTCTCAAACTCCTGGCCTCAAGCAGTCCTCCTGCCTTGGCCGCCCAAAGTGTTGGGATTATAGGTGTGAGCCCACTGTGCCTGGCTAAAAATTATCATAGGGTTAAATAGACTCAATATCTGGCATCTATTGCTACTCATAGATTATATCTAAACTGTAAGCCAAAGGATGTTGTATATATTTTATACTAGGTTTTTCACTAAGAACATTAAAGAAATTATAAAATTTATCACATTTAAAATAGATCTGTTTCATATCTAAATTTATGAAAATTTGATAAATAATCATGTTAATATTTTAATGTAGGAGTTTGGATAAAGAGAGGGCAGTGCTACTACAACGCCGGAAAAGGGAAAATATGTCAGGTGGGTAAAAAGGACCTATGCTAAATTAAAACTAGTATGACTGAGAGAATAAGTGATCCGCATATTTTTAGTTAGAAATAAACACCTTATTGATAAATGTTGATTGTATATGCAATTTGCAGTCTCTGATATAAATTTTAAATCTTTTTTATAGATTATATAATAAATATACACTTAATTTGGGAAATATGGAAACTAGAGGAAAATAAATAGAAAATTTAAATTATCTATAATTTTTCTACACACAGGTAACCTATAGGTTTAAAGAAATAAAATATTTTTATTCTTTACAAAGATGGTGATCTACTAGTTTATCATGTGGAATAGTATTTCTTTCATTTTTAGGAATAGAATTTTCTAAATTCTGATTACATATTCCACAGTTTTCATTTTGGCTTCAAACGTTGATACCAGTACACCTGGTTTTGAATAATCATAATTTATTCAACCATTCCTCTTTGATGTACATTTGAGTTGTTTCTAATATTTTATTGTTTTGTTTTTGTTATTAAAGGCAGTACCCTAAACAAAACCTTCTGGCATAAGTCTTTTTGTACTTTGCTGTTTTATGTTTGACTAGATCTCTGGAACTGTGATGGCTGGGTCAAAGGTGTAAAAACATATATTAATACAATTTTGCTAGATATGGCTAAATTTTTGAATTTTCACTGGTAGTGTACGAGAGTGCCTGTTTCCCTAGATACACCACCAGAGTATGTTGTCAGACTTTTGGAAACTTTCTAGTTTAATTTGTGAAAAAATGATATTTGTAGTTTACATTTAAATGTATCTTATTATTATGAGTGAGGTGAGTGAAGAAGTGAAAAAATGTATTCATTCTTTAAAAAGATGGAGATGACACTTTGTCATGTGTAATGTTGTTTTATTTCATTGTTTGAAATAGAAGTATTACATGTGCAGTAATTTTTATTTTGCCTTTGAAGATGGTGATACCAGTGCAACTGAGAGTGGTGATGAGGTTCCTGTGGAATTATATACTGCATTTCAGCATACTCCAACATCGATTACTTTAACTGCTTCAAGAGTTTCCAAGGTTAATGATAAAAGAAGGAAAAAAAGTGGGGAGAAAGAACAAAACATTTCAAAATGTAAAAAAGTACGTTTTTGCTTGGTTTGAGTTGAGTAGATAGGATAGTTAGATAGCTGAGTTTTGTAGGAAAGACAGGAGAAGTGAGAGTAATGGGTAGTAGTTTAAAAAGGTGGCAGAATATCTAGCAAAATTTATTTTTGTTAATTTTAAACAATGAAATGCATTTTAAAATTTTAATGCATTTTAAAGATTGAAGCAAAATAGAGAAGAAACTGCAAACTGCTTTGAAATCATTTAATGAGACTAATCATAGAAATGTAAAAGCTAAAATAGAAGAGATTGCTGTTTTAGAAGACAGAAATGACAGTCCTAAATTTTCAATAATTATTAACAGGTAAAGAAGCAGTGCTTGTTTATAGTTATTCTCTATTTGAATCATATTTAATCATTTTAACAAGGCTTCCTATTTGAATTTCTTACCATGTAGATTTTTTTTCATTTAAATTTTACATGATGAATTATCCCTAGGATCTGATGACAGAAAACTGTTTATAAGCTAACTTCTCATTAAATTTGTTATAATTGCTAATGAAGATTTTTGTCATTTAAGGTATACTTTCAGTAATGGCAATAGTGCTATTATGGAGTAAAATTATACCTAGATGTGAAATTAATGCTTCAAAATAAAGCTTTTTTTAAATCTTTGAGTAATTCCTCATGATGTATTTGGTTAAGTAGGCAGCATGTAGTTTAAAATACATTTTCATTTTCTAATTTCACTTCCCTGTTTAAGCTTAACTATCTAGCAGTCATCACATCTGTGTCCCTCTGCTTTTCTGTTACTTGCCTACTGGTATTTTATCTAATCTGGATAACTTACTGTTAGTACATTGTACTTAGACTTTGTGGACATGTAATTTTTGCTTCTGCTGTTTCCTTCATCATTTGGAATATTCTCTTCTCCATCTTTATCTTTTAAAGTCCTACCATATATTTTGAAGCCCATTTCAAGCACAGCTTCCTCCATGAAATTTGCCTCTTCTACCATACATGATCTTTTTTCTTTGCATCCCATCAAGGCACTTAACACTTAAGCATATTTTGCTTTGTTATTTTCCTCATCTTTGGTAGATTGTAATTTACACAAAGAAAGATTGTCTTCTGCCTGCCTTTTACAATTTAGGAGCTCACATATAGATGTTGACTCACCTTTTTATATACTGCTTTCAAATTATGATTTTCTTTTTGATTGTTATGTAAAAGACATGGAAACTTTATCCTTTTATATTTCCGTTTTAGGTCATTTGGTCTCATTTAAATCTGTGTTTTGAATAAAGCATGGATTCTGCATTTTCTATGGCTGGAATGACTTTTGGGTATTTGAAATGAGTCAACCCTGGGTCTTTATCTCATATTTATTTCAGAATATTGCTGTATATTTAAAAAGGAAGGAATTTTCTCTGGTATTAAGTTAATAATATTTGACAGGGCCTGGGCATGGAGGATCTGGCCTGTAATCCAAGGACTTTGGGACGCTGAGGCAGAAAGATTGCCTTAGGCCAGGAGTTCAAGACCAGTCTGAGCAACATAGCAAGACCTCTGTCTCTACAAAATTTTTTTTTAAAAATTAGCCAAGCATGGTGGCATGTGCCTATAGTCCTAGCTACTCTAGAGGCTGAGGCATGAGGATTGCTTGAGCCCAGAAGTTCAACATTGGAGTGAGCTATGATCATGCCACTGCAGTTGAGCCTGGGCAACAGAGCAAGACTCTGTAATAAAGAATAGTAATAATAATAATACTCAACAGGAATTGAGGGGCTGGGGGAAGAATCTAGGAAATGGGCGTAAAAATAGCTATTTCTACTGTTCTATTAAATTTATATTATTTTTGAGGGCAATATGTAATATAAAAGATATAGCAAAAGATACAAGTTTTGTTTTACATTCAGCCTGCTACATGGCTAATTGTAGAAAATGTGAATGGAGTTAGCAATAAATATTCTGGGCAGATGACAGTTTTTAAATATTCATAAAACTCTATTAAGGTGTAGATGGTGCTTTAGCAATTCAAGACTTTGACATGATTAAAGTATTAAAAGACATGGATTATGTATTGTGACCCTATATATTAATTAGGACTTTTAAAGTAATATTTTCTGATTTTAACTTGAAAACAAGTTTTTCAACTTTGTTCTAAGACCATTGTCAACAAATATTACTTGTGAATGTTCTATTATTTTTCTTTCAGTGTTTCCTGTTAAAACAAAACTTGTACCTCCTTGACCATGCTTTAAATTTTTTTTCAGCAGCACAGCCATTATTACCCAGGCTCTAAAATCTATAAATCATTTACAGTCTATAAACTGTAAATGATTTATAGTCTATAATCATTACAGTCATTTACAGTCTAAAATCTATAAATCATTTATAGTCTTTTACATCCAGATTTATTCTCAAAAGTTCTGTTGATACTTACTTTGAAATGTCTTTTGGATACTTTTTTTTTTTTTTTAGATAGGGTCTCACTCTTTCGCCCAGGCTAGAGTGCAGTGGTAGAATCATAGCTCACTGCAGCCTCAAGCCTCCTGGGTTCAAGTGATCCTCCTGGCTCAGCCTTCAGAGTAGCTGGGACTACAGGCGTGTGTTTCCACGCCCCACTAATCTTTCAATTTTTGTAGAGACAGGGTCTTGCTCATGCTCCAGCTGGTCTCCAACTCCTGGTCTCAAGCGATCCTCCTGCCTCGACCTACTATTACAGGCGTGAGCTACCTCACTTGAGCTGATATATATTTTTCCCTTCTTTTTGCTGTTGCAACCCTAGTCTAAGCCCTTACTACCTTATAGTAATACAGTAATATCTTGTTATCATCTTTGATTTCTCTTTATCCTCTTCCTTCTTCGTTCCATTCTGCATTTGGTTATCAGATAAGTGTCATTCTTATATCTCTTCTCTGCTTAGAAATATTCTAGGGATTGTTTATTTATAGTGAAGAGTATACAGTATTTAAGTCAGAATTATAAAATCTGACTTTTTAAATAAGGCTCCCATGACCTAATTTGATATTGTTTAGCTAATCTCTTATACTGCCTTTCAGTAGGTAAAAGTAATATATTCGTTTTTTCTTGAATTTGACGTTATTTTTATCTTGTGCCTTCCTTCATAGTTTTTGTACTAAGCAGGATTATATTCCTTTTACTTTCCCATCTGTTTTACATAGTCCATCTAGATTTTTCCCTCATGTTTTACATAAAGTTCCTTTGCCTCCTTTTAAAAAAAATCTTGTTCTCTTCTAACATTGTCTATGTACATATTTGGTTCTGTATTGCCAGCTCTAGGTTTTTGTTAGTCTCTCTAAATAGAGAGTTTACACTTTTTTGAGGGGATGAGAGGGAGAGGAATAAAGTCTTAACTACCTTTTTCAGGATCTGGCAGATTAGTGGGCTCTCAGTACATATTTATTGAATAAATATAGCTGTTTACCACAGTTTTCATTTCTTAAGCCCATTGAGGGTTCAAATATTATCTGGTAGTTGCTTAGAGAATTAAAGTAATAACATTTTACCCCCCTCCCAAAAAATGTCTCGTTGCTTCAACAAAACTATAATATTTTAATACCTTCTCAGTTTTTATCATTAATATTTTTCCATGGTTGTAATATTGAACACATAGAGTATTTGGAAATTTTTGTCTTGGCATCATATTATATACAGATTTTTATATTCTACATAGTCTGCATTCTGTTTATTTATTTTTTAAAGAGACGGGATCTCACTATGTTGCCCAGGCTGGAGTACAGTGGCTATTCATTGGCACGATCATAGCGCATTACAACTTCGAACTCTTGGGCTCAAGCGATCCTCCTGCCTCAGCCTCCTGAGTAGTTGGGACTACAAGGTGTGCACCACCACGCCTGGCTACATTCTATTTTTTAAATAATAGTATTCTATATTCTAGTAGATACCTTTATTTATATAAACATACTCCTAATTTTGGCTTTTATTGGTTTTTGCAAATATTATGACACCTCAGTATAAAGCTTCAATGAACCAATTGATTATGAAATAATTATCTCCAGTTTTTTTAAAAAACTAACTCAAAATTCTGTATTTATTTCAGGCCTTTCGTGAAGGATCTAGGAAGTCATCAAGAGTTAAGGTGAATACATTAAATTTAAGGTGTTATTATCAACTGTCAGTTATTAAGTAACTTACCAAGTGGTTGTTCATCCATATCTTAATGCTCTCTTCAAGTGTGCCATTTCATTGCTTATCTTTACCAGAAGTGGGACCTTAGAAAATTCTAATTGGATTAATATAATACTCTTGTAATTTATTAACACTATTTAAAAAAGTAATCAAAAGAGGGAGGTATATAAGCAGTTTCGAATATCATTTGAAATTTGCTTTTCTGTGCAGTTGGGATTCTAGGGAGTTAGTCAAGTCAGTTGTCATACTATAAAATCACCGTGGAAGTACCATGTAAATATAAACTAGTTATGTGTACCTTGAATTAAGATATATCCTCAATTTTTTAGATGCTAACATTGCTGAAAGAAACAAGGTTCCCCAACTTGGGCTCCCCCCCAAAATATAGATTTGTGTTGGGTCACAGAGGTCAGCTAGCTATACATTAGTACTGTAGCATTCTGGGTTAGATAGTAAAAATAACGAATTTTTTAAATTGTCAAATATTAAATGGGATTTGGGGAGCATGTTACAGTCTATCTGTTGTCCCTATATTACAAAGCATAATAATTATTCATTGTTTCACATTTCTGGAAAACAGTCCAGTGATTATTCTTGCATCATTTTATAGTTCTTTCTCAATACTATTAATATTTGGTGTCACTTAGCATACTGCAAGTCCAGAGTTTCATAAAATGTTTTTTACATGTTAATGTTGGAGATTTTATAACAGAACTTAGTATGTTAACTTAGATTTATGGAATTTGATCTAATCACCTGCAGGCAAAATGAGGAAGGAGCATCTTTTTCTTAGTTAAAATGCTTTTCTTTAGTACATAAATAAGTGATGAGGGATATAAAATTAAAAAAAAATTCTTATGTATCTTGAAAAATATCTTTTCCTTAACCAGAAGATATCTCTTTAAAATCATTACAGTTCCAATAAGTAATTCTGTAGTAATTTCATAAGGTTTAAGAAATATAGGCTGGGCGTGGTGGCCCACGCCTGTAATCCTAGCACTCTGAGAATCCGAGGCAGGTGGATCGTTTGAACTCTGGAGTTCGAGACCAGCCTGAGCAAGAGTGAGACCCCATCTCTACTAAAAATAGAAAAGAAATTAGCTGGACAACTAAAAATATATAGGAAAAATTAGCCCAGTAATGGTGGTGCATGCCTATAGTTCCAGCTACTCGGGAGGCTGAGGCAGAAGGATTGCTTGAGCCCAGGAGTTTGAGGTTGCTGTGAGCTAGGCCGACGCCACGGCACTCTAGTTCGGACAATAGAGTGAGACTCTGTCTCAAAAAAAAAAAAAAATTAAGAAAAAGATATAGAAGAACTGTATTAAAAATATACCAAGTCAATAGAAGAGTTTCTTGTGGGCCCCAAATAAGAAATGAAAATTTAAAAACTGAGTAAGTTCCTTTAATAAAGCAGAGGAAAACTATAACATGAAATAGTGCCTTATATTTCTATAAAAATCTGTTCTTTATCAAATGGTCATTATAATGTAGAATATGTATATACATAAAATACCAACCCTACCCCCTTCAAATAGTCAAACAACTTATTATAGTTTATATTCCATTATAGAAAACAATAATACTTTTTGTTATAAAGATTAGTCACTCATATGGAGAATGGACTGATGGTAAATTTTAGTATATATGCATATGCACATGTATTACAGGATATATAAGGATCTTTGTGAAATCTATATGTGATCTTAAAATTTCAGTAAGTTTAGATTGTTGTACATATTAAGGAAGTAACTTGTTTTCCCATCAAGGTATTCAATATTATAGAAGGATATTATAAATGGCATTTACCAATAAATTTGTTATGTGATTATAGATCTTGGAATGGCACTAAGTTAAGGTATTATAGCATTGTTATAAAGGAAATATAAAAATTATATTAAAATAAATTTATATGTCATATGTAGCATGTGTAGTTCACATAATTGCAAATTTTTTCTTGCTAAATAGAATAGTTCTGTTTGTTACTCTTGAGTAGAGATATTGGCAGTCTCTAAAACCAGAAATTTCATATGCTATCTTTTTTTATACTGTTAGCTGAAATTGAACCAGTGATTTGAGTTCAGGCAGTCCCTGAGTTATGGATGACCTGCCTTTATGGCATTCCGTACTTACAAATGGACTCCCAAGGCCCCCCATGAGGATAATTTATAATTAATTAATTACATTAATAATTTGGAAACTAGTTTCTTCTGTGCATGTAAAGAAATCTGCATGGCATAAGCAGTTCGTTGGTGCAGCATATTTGCGCTAGTGGCTGGTCTCATTGTATAGTCGCTTATGCACAGGATCACTTTGGTGTTAACTTTTTTATTTGATTTTGTGGGTCTTATGACCATGCCTGTAAAGTGAAAGTTCACTGCAAGTCTAGATGGGCCTTCAATGAAAAGTGATTACAACGAAAATGATAGTAGAAATAATTAAGAGTTGAGAGAAAGACCAGACACCATCATTCACTGGGAAAGCATTGGGCTTCAGTCACTCTACTGTCGGAACAATTATAAAGGATAAAGTGAGAATAATGGGACATGTGAAAGACAGTGTTCCAATGAAAGCATCAGTTATTACTAAGCAGCATAATAGATTAATTATTGAAATGCAAAGTTTATTGATTAATTTAGAAGGATGAAAATAAGTATAACATTCCTATTAGCCTAGTGTTGATGCAACATGAATGTTAACCTTTAATATTCTCTTTTGAAATTTCTACTATCTCCTGTCTAAACTTTTTGTATGAATTTGTTTTTATATTCCATTTGAATTAAAAGAGCACAATAGTTTTTGTAAGTTATTACAGTAGAGGAACATTATTATTGCTACTACAGTATTACACTATATTATTACTACTACAAATGAACCATTATAATGTTGTTGTTATTATTGCCATATATGCGCTGTTCATCAGGGATCCGAGTTAGATACAAATCTTACCTAAAGATGTTCTCAGGAACATTTCATCTGTAAGCTGGGGACTACCTGTATTTGGAATTTTATCAATATCCTCCATTTGGCTACAGTAGTGACAGTGAAGCTTGAATTTCTGTTATTCCAGCATAACTCAGCTTCCTTCAATTTTCCAACTCATACTTGTTTGGCGTGCAGTATAAAAATGTACTAGGCTGCTAATATATGGTCTTCTTTTCACTAACCAACTTGGAAAGCCAAACATTATTTCTAGTTTATATTACGTTCTTTTATATAGAGTGGCATTAATTTTTTATGTATGTGTGTATAAGTACTTAAGTCCAGATATTAATGCCAAGTTTACTATGATTTCAGGGTTCAGCTCCAGAGATTGATCCTTCATCTGATGGTTCAAATTTTGGATGGGAGACAAAAATCAAAGCATGGATGGATCGCTATGAAGAGGCAAATAATAACCAGTATAGTGAGGGTGTTCAGAGGGAGGCACAAAGAATAGCTCTGAGATTAGGCAATGGAAATGACAAAAAAGAGATGAATAAATCAGATTTGAATACCAACAGTTTGCTCTTCAAACCTCCTGTAGAGGTAAATATATCATTTGTCAAAAGCTGTAAAGAAAAACCCTTTTTATGCTGTGTATCTATAGTTAGACTAAAAGCAATCAGGTTTAATTAATTTCAACATTTTACTCTGATTTTAGAGCCATATACAAAAGAATAAGAAGATTCTGAAATCTGCAAAAGATTTGCCTCCTGATGCACTCATCATTGAATATAGAGGGAAGTTTATGCTGCGAGAACAGTTTGAAGCAAATGGATATTTCTTTAAAAGGTACATTCCTTTATTTTCCCATATTCATTTTCTATAGGTAAATACTGATTTTGGGGCTATTTTATCCAGATGCTTTGATTATATGTACTTTGTTTTCCTGTGTGATCATTTCAGTACTTAAAACTGTAGTGTGGTTGAACAGTGACTAAACAATCCACTTGAAAGATAAACCAGCAACATTAAAGGTTGTATAATGATATCAGTCAGGAACTCTGATTACCTGAGATTATAAGGAACCTTTCCATCCAGGAACTGTGCTTAATCCTCACTGCATAATAGCTAGAACCTGAAAAGACCATGGTGACCACAGGCAGAACTCCTTCTTCTGTTTTTTTGTTTGTTTGTTTTTGTTTTTTGAGATAGAGTCTGGCTCTGTCACCTAGGCTGGAGTGCAGTGGTGCAATCATAGGTCACTGTAACCTCAAACTCCTGGGCTCAAACAGGAGCCCTGCCTCAGCATCCCCAGTAGCTAGGATTACAGATGCGCACCACCATGCCTGGCTAAGTTTTTTAGATAGAGAGAGAGAGAAAGAAGAGATAGTTTTTCACTGTTTTGCCCAGGTGTCTTGAACTCCTGGCCTCAAGGGATCCTCCCGTCTCAGCCTCTCAAAGTACTGCGTTTAGAGGCATAAGCCACCATGCCCAGCCAACTTGTTCCTCTTTGTTGGACAGTGTTAGATTTGGTACTATGTTTTGCCACCACTTTCAGTTCCCACTTTGTTGGTATTGGAATGGTTTTGGAGGTCTCTTCCTTCTATGGTTTGGGATTTTTATGTGGTATTGATATGATCCTCTGATAGCCATTGCTTCCCTGTGGTCTAGAAGTATGTTCTTATCTCTAGGGGGATGACATTACCAGTCTGTATCCTACACTTACAAAATCATTTCTTGTTGTTTATAGCTTGAGTTTTTTCTTAAGATATGAAAGATACCAAGAATTTTTCCCTAATATAATAGATTTGATCCGAAATGAGTATAACTCCCTTTTAAATGCACCAGGAAGGAAACATAGATTTTAAAGGAATTGATTTATGACTACGTAAAAGCAGTAGTCGCTCTCTTTTTATCTTTCTTTGTAAATTTGAATTTATTCTACCTTTAGTTAATTCCTTTTGATTTTTAGATAAGGTTATAGTGGCAGGTAAACATCTCATTAGCATAAACTAGCATAACTGGAGTAAGATTGCCTACATTCAAATCTCGACTTCACTACTTTGTGTCTTTTAGAAGTTTCTGACACTATGTGTTTTTAAGTTTCCTCATCAGTTTGCTTATGAAGAATAACAGATTATTATACAAAAATGTTAATAAGTTATAATGTTTCTTTGTAGACCATATCCTTTTGTTTTATTCTACTCTAAATTTCATGGGCTGGAAATGTGTGTTGATGCAAGGACTTTTGGGAATGAGGCTCGATTCATCAGGCGTTCTTGTACACCCAATGCAGAGGTAAAGTTACAGAAATCTTTTGGGGAGGCGAGGCATGGGGATGTGTACAATCTGAGTATTAAGCACAAAAGTCTGGTAGCCTTAAACCCTTTTCAACTGCTGATACATTTTGTACTACCCAACATCCTTCTGTTGTGAAAATTCAGGTGATAATTGGCTGTGAAGTTCTAAAAAGTACTCTGCACATTGAAGAAATTGGTGATGTTCCTTGTAAGAGGAAATATCAAGCTGCTTTTTGTTTATCCTGGAAACTTTATTTATAATTCAAATATATGCTATGATTTGATTAAGTTAGATCGGCAGTTCTCAACCTTTTTGGCACCAGGGACCAGTTTCATGAAACATAATTTTTCCACAGATTGCGAGGAGGAGGGAAGCAGAGCTCAGGTGGTGATGCAAGCAGTAGGGATGAAGCTTCACTTGCCTCCTGCTCTGCACCTGGGTTCCTAAGTTTCATGGAAGACAATTTTTCCACAAAGTTTGGGAAGGGGGAGGGTGTTGGAGCTCAGGTGATGATGTGAGCAATGGGGAGCGACTGCAGGCTAGTTCCTGGCAGGCCACAGACTGGTAGCAGTCCATGGCCCAGGGGTTGGAACCGCAGAGTTAGATGACAAAGCTAAAATCTAATGGAAATTTTATGTGTGCTTTTGAAAAATTTTTATAAAATTATATTTTAGTGTGGAATGTAAAGTAATGTTGGTTTTGCTTTTTACTTGCCAACATAAACATTTTTAATTTTTTTTTTTTGAGACAGAGTCTCACTTTGTTGCCCAGGCTAGAGTGAGTGACGTGGCGTCAGCCTGGCTCACAGCAACCTCAAACTCCTGGGCTCAGCCATCCTACTGCCTCAGCCTCCCAAGTAGCTGGGACTACAGGCATGTGCCACCATGCCCGGCTAATTTTTTGTATATATATTTTTAGTTGGTCAATTAATTTCTTTCTATTTTTGGTAGAGACGGGGTCTCGCTCTGGCTGGTTTCGAACTCCTGACCTTGAGCAACCCGCCCGCCTTGGCCTCCCAAAGTGCTAGGATTACAGGCGTGAGCCACCGCGCCCGGCAACATTTTTAATTTTATAATTAGATAATATTGCAGCTAAGAGTATAGGTTTAGAACCAGATTTAAGAGATTCATGCCTTCTCTGTGACTTAATAGCTTTGTAACCTTATCTGTGCCTCAGTTTTATCTCTGAAAAGGTGGTATGAGGACTAAAGGAATTAATACATATAAACTATCTAGAACATTGTCTGTCATAAAAAAGTACAGTGTTGGCTGTACCATTACTGCATTCATTAAACTAAGATGCCGTCACTTGTAAGACTACCAGTTTTAGAGATGTTAAAGGCAAAAAATTAGAATTGATGAAATAAAGTATTTTATTTTTTTGGATGGGACACAACAAGCTGTACGGTTGGGGGATTTGGCAGTGGGCAGCAACACACCTTTGAGAAATCTTCCCAGTTGATAACAACTGATTTATAGTGATAAGTCTTATGATTAATGGTGTATTTTCCAATTTGTGAAGTACATTGACTAGTTTTCAAAATTGTAGAATAAGATCTTTATAAAGGTAGGAAGTAATTTATAGAAATGTAAAATTATTCTTTTAACTTACAGGTGAGGCATGAAATCGAAGATGGAACCATACATCTGTACATTTATTCTATACAAAGTATTCCCAAAGGAACTGAAATTACTATTGCCTTTGATTTTGACTATGGGAATTGGTAAGTTCAAGTCTGTAAATATGTCATCTTTTGCTTCAAAATAGTTCCTTAATGACCTTATAATAATTAGGTATTATCATTACTTTTATATTTTTTTATTTTTATCATGAGGCAGTTAAAACTACTTTAAAATAAGCATTTTGGTATCAGCCTCCTTTATATCATTGCTGCTTATTTTCTGAATTTTCCCTAATTATTATTATTATAATGTAAATGTTCACAATTATAGTTAGTAATTTTTTTTTTTTTTTTTTTTGAGACAGAGTCTTGCTTTGTTGCCCAGGCTAGAGTGAGTGCTGTGTCGTCAGCTTAGCTTACAGCAACCTCAAACTTTTGGGCTCAAGCGATCCTACTGCCTCAGCCTCCCGAGTAGCTGGGACTACAGGCATGTGCCACCATGCCCGGCTAATTTTTTGTATGTATTTTTGGTTGGCCAATTAATTTCTTTCTATTTATAGTAGAGACTGGGTCTGGCTCTTGCTCAGGCTGGTTTCGAACTCCTGACCTTGAGCAGTCCTCCCACTTCGGCCTCCCAGAGTGCTAGGATTACAGGCGTGAGCCACCATGCCTGGCCAATAGTTAGTAGTCTTAACTCATCCATACAACACTGACCTTGTTTATGTAAGAATTTTTACTTTTTCCTTATATTTTTAGGTGATACAATTTTAGTCGTTTATGGTTAATCAGTATGAGTGATTTCTATCTTTTGCCCCTTAAAACAAGAGATTGTCAAATTTTCTTTACAGTATAAATTGAAAGGGTTTGTTGGAGATCTTGCAAAGAAGCTCTGAGAACTATTGTTCCGAAATACTAGAAAAACCAAATGTTAATTCTGAGTATGCTAAGACCTTGAACAACACAGAGGTTAGGGGTGCCAACCCCTTGTGCAGTCAGAAATCCATGTATAACTTTTGGCTCCCCAAAAGCTTAACTAATAGCCTGTTGTTGACTGGAAGCCCTATTAATAACATAAACAGTCAATTAATACATATTTTGTGTGTTATATGTATTATTTACTGTTTTCTTACAATAACATAAGGTAGAGAAAAGAAAATGTTATTAAGAAAACCACAAAGAGGGCTGAGTATGGTGGCTCACACCTGTAATCCTAGGACTTTGGAAGGCGGAGGCAGAAGGATTCCTTGAGGCCAGGAGTTTTGAGACCAGCATGAGCAACATAGTGAGATCTCATCTCTACAAAAAAAATGAAATTAGCCAGGCATGGTGGCATGTGCCTGTAGTCCCAGCTCCTGGGGAGACTGAGTCAAGAGGATCGCTTGAGTCCAGAAGTTTGAGGTTGCTGTGAGCTAGCTTGACGTCATAGCACTCTAGCCCGGGCAACAGAGCAAGACTGTGTCTCAAAAAAAAGAAAGAAAGAAAACCATAAAGAAGAGAAAGTATATTTACTATTGGTTAACTGGAAGTGGATCATTAAAAGAGTCTTCATCCTGGTCTTCACGTTGAGTAGGCTAAGGAGAAAGAGAAGGTGTTGGTCTTGCTATCTTGGTGGCGGGGAGGGGAGAGGGCAGAGGCAGAAGAGATGAAGGAGAGGTAGAAGGGGAGGCAGGAGAAGCAGGCACACTTGCTGTACCTTTATGGAAACACATAATTTCTGTTTGGCTTTTTTGCTTTTTCATTTCTCTGAAAATGTTTTTATATAGTATTAATCCTTTTTGCACTGTTTGCTTTTAGTTTCAGTGTCCATGTCACAGAAGGGTCCGTGTCATAAAAGAAAGCAAAAGCAGTCTTGAATAACTGGAACCCTTCTGCCAGATTGTCTAATGGCAATTTGTTTTCTGGCACTGCTTTTTCTACATCTTCTTCCTCATCATCTAGCACTGGTTCAGAAACACTAATTTCCATCAAGTCATCTTCTGTTAATTCTTCTAGTGTGGTGTCTATTAGGTCTTAAATTTCTCCAAGATCTGCATTTTAAAACCCTTCAACCCCCACCTATCCACAATCTCTTTCATGATTTCCTTAATTGGCTCTTTTGTAAATCCTGTGAAGTCATGCACAACATGTGGACATGGTTTTCTCCAGCACAAATTTAGTGTTTCAGTCTTGATTGCTTTCATGGCTTTTTCTGTAACAGTGATGGCATTTTCAATGGTGTAATCCTTCCAGACTTTCATGATCTTCTTTTGGAGTTCTCTTCCATAACATTGACAGTCCTTTCAATAACGTACCGTGTGTAATGAGCCTCAAAGGTCCTCATTGGCCAGGCGCAGTGGCTCACACCTGTAATCCTAGCACTCTGGGAGGCCGAGGCAGGAGGATTGCTCAAGGTCAGGAGTTCGAAACCTGCCTGAGGAAGAGCCAGACCCCGTCTCTATTATAAATAGAAAGAAATTAATTGGACAACTAATATATATAGAAAAAATTAGCCGGGCATGGTGGCACATGCCTATAGTCCCAGCTACTCGGGAGGCTGAGACAGCAGGATTGCTTGAGCCCAGGAGTTTGAGGTTGCTATGAGCTAGGCTGACGCCACAGCACTCACTCTAGCCTAGGCAACAAAGCGAGACTCTGTCTCAAAAAAAAAAAGGTCCTCAAAACCCCCAATCTAGAGGCTGAATTAGAGATGTTGTGTTTGGGGGCAAGTAGGTCACTTCAGTGCCTTTGGTGTTGAATTCACGGGGTTCTGGGTGGCCAGGGGTATTGTCCAATATCAAAAGAATTTTAAAAGGCAATCCCTTATTGGGAAGTACCCTTATTGGGTAATTTCAGTGACAAAGCATCAATGGAACCAATCCAGAAAAACAATTTTTGTTGTCCAGGCCTTTTTGTTTACAACCAAAGAACTGGCTGCTGATGTTTATCTTTTCCCTTCAAAGTTCAACAGTTAGCAGCTTTATAGATGAGGGCAGTCCTAATCATAAACCCAACTGCATTTGCACAAAACAGAGTTAGCCTATCCCTTCCTGTCTTAAATTCTGGTGCTTGTTTCTCTTCCTTACTAATAAATGTCCTTTGTGGCTTTTTTTTTTTTTTTTTTGCAAAATAGAGCAGTTTCATTTGCTTTAAACACCTGTTCAGGCAGATACCCTTTCTCCTTAATGATTTTCTTAATGATGTCTGGGAACGCATTTGCTGCCTCTTGGTCAGTGGAAGCTGTTTCTCCTGTTGATATTTTTTAAGCCAAACCCTTTCTAAAATTATCAAACCATCCTTTGCTGGCATTAAATTTCCCACTTTTAGATCCTTTACCTTCCTTTTGCTTGTCATTTAATGACTTCACTTTTTCTCAAATCATACTAGAGTATATAGGTATACCTTTCTTACATAGCAATCCCATACCCACTGAAAAGCTGAATTTTCAATACAAGATGAACAGGTATTTTATAAAATGTAAGGTTTTTCACACCTGCTGGCGTAGCTGCAGTGAGAGCTCCACAGATTTCCTTTTCTTTTTTTTATGTGGCACATAATGCTGGATTCATTTATCTTGAGATGACAAGCAGCCACAGGTGCACCTCAATCTGTGCTAGCTATCAAGCAATTCAAGTTTTTCTTATAGTGTTATGACTTTTCTCTGCTTCTTGGGAGCATTTCCAGCATAACTAGTGGCACTTCTTATGGGTCCCATGGTATTACTCAAAGTTTACTATATTGTACTAAACACGATGTAAAATGTGTGAGAACCATGAGAGATCACTTTTTACTGTGATATGCAATTTACTGGAGAGATGAACTGGTCACAGGGAGATGATTAGTGCCACGTGGCGTTTTAAGTGGAATGCTACAATAACAGGAGGTGGCTAAAAAATTATTACAGTAATGTATTATGTACTGTAGTTAATTGTATGCAGTTATAATTTAATACTGCATCCTTATGTTTATTTACATTTCTCTTGACTGTGAATGGCACCATGTATGGTCTGTTTGTATAAATTTTGATAAATTTTAACTTTTTATAATATATTTATATAAATTTTATGGTAGTAAATGATGAAATAGACTAGTATCTAAATACATTTTATGCATTCATGACATACTTTTCTTAATTTTTTTCAATATTTCTAGGCTGTGTGGTACATTTGAGTTTTTTCAAATTGTTGAAAATTTCCAAAAAATTTTCTAATATTTTATTGAAAAAAATCCACATAAAAGTGGACCTGTGTAGGTTAAACTTTGTTGTTCAAGGGTCAATTATATTTTGTTTAAATTTTTAGAAATTGAATGTAAAGATATAAATAATACAGATACCATGTACTCACTTCCCAAATTAGAAATAAAACATTTCATTGAAGTCCCTTATGTTTAGCAGCCAGATTGCATCTCTCCTTTTATCTTTAATGTGTTGTTTCTCTAACATCCTATTTTGTTTGTATATGTTGACAAATATCTAGAATTTTATATTGTTTTAAACTTTATATAAATTATAACCTGTTGCATTCCTATGCATTCATCTTTTCTTATTTATTACATGAGATTAAGCTACATTGTTATGTGTATAGTTCTAGTTCATTTATTTTCATTGCTGGCATTTATCTATTTCACTACTGATGAATCTTTACATTTAAAAAAAATGTTCCTATGGCTTTTTGAACATGTGTACATGTGTACATGTTCTCTCCATGATTGGAATGTAGGAGTGGAATTGCTAGATTGTACAATGTGCACAGCGTCAGTTTTTACTAGATGTGGGTGACTTACTCTCCAAAGAGGCTTGTACCAGTTTACATTCCCAAGCGATCATTCCTTGTTATACATCTTTACTGTAAAACTTTAAAAACTGATGCTAGTCCATGTGGAACGGTGTATGTTTTATATTTTTATTTACCATTTTCCTAGATTATTTATGGGCCCAATGATCTTTTTATATATTGTCATTTGGATTTCTACTCTTGTGAATTGCCTAATCCTATTATCCTTCCATTTTTCTGCTGGGTAGTCTTTTTCTTGGGTCTTTTTTTTCTTTTAAGTTCTTTAATATTTTCTAGCCTTTGGGGTTATAGCAATTTCAATTCATTTTCTCCTATTTTGTATTTTGAATCTTCGGTATCTTTTTTAAATGTAGTGTTTTAAATGTCCATTATGTTTCTCTCAGTGAAATCCTTCTTCCTTCAGTATTCATCTCTGATTACTGAAATCAGATTTATCATAACTTTTCCTTTTTTAGCCCTTTCTTCCCAAGATGATAGAAACTTTATCATAATGTATTTTTGCTCATTGCTTTGAAAGATCATAGAGGTTAAGAATTTTAAGTTTTTTATAATTTGTCTGGTTTCAAATGCTAGCTTGATCACTTACTATGTAACTCTAGACCAATTTCTTCGTCTCTTTATGCCACGTTACCTCAAATACAGGAGTGATAATACCTAAAGTGCTTAATAAATATAAGCCATTGCCATCATTTTTATTTGTAGTTCTTTTGTCCTAAAATCAAATAGGACATCTAGAAAGTTTCCAGCTAGTGTCTATTAATACTTAATTTGGAAGGTGGAACCATAAATGTTTGAGTTCTCTCTCTCTTATTGACAGAATTAGGCAGTTGGACTTCTATCTTTCTTAATGTTAAAAGTGATTGATAGGCGGGGTGTGGTGGCTCACCTTTAATCCTAGCACTTAGAGGCTGAGGCGGGTGGATCACACAGGAGTTTGAGACCCGCCTGAGCAAGAGAAAAATCCCGTCTCTACTAAAAATAGAAAGAAATTAATTGGCCAACTAAAATATATAGAAAAAATTAGCCGGGCATGATGGCGCATGCCTGTAGTCCCAGCTGCTCTGGAGGCTGAGGCAGAAGAATTGCTTGAGCCCAGGAGTTTGAGGTTGCTGTGAGCTAGGCTGATGCCACGGCACTCTAGCCTGGGCAACAAAGTAAGACTCAGTCTCAAAATACAAAAAAAAAGTGAGTTGGGAGTATTAGAAACTTTAAAAGTTAATTGTTCTTGATCTTTAACTCAGGTTTGGGCATTTAGCCTGCATCCTAGAGATAGTATTAAATCTTAGCAGTGGTAGTAGAGATAAAGAGGGCAGAGAGTTGAAAAATACTAAAACAAAAAGTCTATGGGCTTTAGAGTTGTTCAGGCCTGTATCTAAACACCATCCCTACCACTTATTAACTGTGTGACTTTGGAGAAGAAAAAGACTCTTCTTGAGCTTTAATTTCATCTGTAAGATGGGAGTAATAATTATTACTCTGAAAAAGGGAGTGCAATTATTTTTCAAGCTTCCACCTGAAAAGGGGGAATACTTAAGTGGAGCAAAAACAAACATTAAATTTTTTCAAAGTTGCTTTTTACAGAAACCTGATTATTGAAATACTTCCTTGTATGAGACAAACTAGTTAAGATTTGGTATTTGTTATACCTAGTATTTTTTATTTAGGCCTAATTTCAGGTCAGTATTTTATAATACTCTGGGACTGTTGAAGTAATTATGGTTTTTGCTGTAATGTTATTTTGTATAAATCCACAGTATCATTTTACTTTAAAAGACTCAAAAGTTTTAATTTACTGATTTTTTCTTCTTTGTGTGACATAGGTTGAATATCCCTAATCTGAAATCCACATGCTTCAAAATTATAAACTTTTTGAGTACAGACATGATGCCACAAGTAGAAAATTTATGTCACAGGTCACAGTAGAAACTTTGTTTCATGCACAAAATTATTAAAAAATAATATAAAAATTACTTTCAGGCTATGTGTATAAGGTGTATATGAAACGTATATGAATTTTGTGTTTAGACTTTGGTTCCATACCCAAATATCTCATTTGTGTATACAAATATACTCAAATCCAAAAAAATCGAAGCACTTCTGATCCCATGCATTTCAGATAAGAGATACTCAACCTGTACTTACATTTGAAGGCCCAATATCTGGTCAGAAATAAACATCTAATTATTACATTGTTTTTGTGAGAAAATAAAATTTTTTATGATAGTTACCAGGAATGCAAATTAGTGAAAAGTATGTATTGTTTGCAGTTAATAATTGTATATAATTCTGTGGAGTTGTAGGTTTAAATGGATTAGAAATTTTCCAGTTTTGTTTTATATCTTGAATAAATATTCAACTGGTTTTCTTTTCAGTAAGTACAAGGTGGATTGTGCATGCCTCAAAGAAAATCCAGAATGCCCTGTTCTTAAACGTAGTTCTGAATCCACGGAAAACATAAATAGTGGTTATGAAACCAGAAGGAAAAAAGGAAAAAAAGACAAAGATATTTCAAAAGAAAAAGATACACAAAATCAGAATATTACTTTGGATTGTGAAGGAACAACCAACAAAATAAAAAGCCCAGAAACTAAACAGAGAAAGCTTTCTCCATTGAGACTATCAGTATCAAATAATCAGGTACCGATCTCTACTGACTCATGATGAAATTAAATAAACAAAGGAAAATAATTTCATATTTTAACCTCTTTTTGTTTTATTTGTAGTTGTTTAAAATATCTTAAGTCCAATCTGTTATTTAATGACATATTTATAGGTGTAAAATGTAGATTCTGCTAGAATTTGTATAATATTTGTTGAATTATTAAGAAACAACTCAGCCAACAAATCCTTGCGGAATTGAAGACAAGATTTTCCTAAGACTAGGTAATTAAAAAAAAAAATCTTCCAAGTGGCATTTCCTGATGTTCATAATAAATGTTCTTATTTAAAGTCTTAAGCCATATAATTTCCTTTCCTTAAATATCTGGACACAAGGCAGGTGTGGTGGCACATGCCTGTCATCCCAGCTACTCAGGAGGCTGAGGCAGGAGGATTGCTTGAGCTCAGGAATTTGAAGCTGCATTGAGCTACGATGATGCCACTGCACTCAAGCCTGCGTGACAGAGTGAGACACCCTGTCTTTAAAAAATAAAAGTAAAACAATTTTTAAAAATCTAAACACAGGTAATCTTATTTCTACAAGGCTGTCACAATCAATAATAGCAAATAAGATTTTTGAGAGAAAACTCACTACAAACACATAAGGTAATATTGGTGGTAGAGTTTGGCCTATACTGCTCTACTAAGGAATATATGTCCTCTAAACAAAATGAAGTCAGAAGGGACCTTTGAATGTGAAAATAAGGCTTTGCTCATCTTCAGGGCCCTATCTTCTAGGAAGAATTTCCCTTAAGTTTTCAATTAAATAAAATTTTATTGAGCACTTGGTATTTCCAGGTGTTGTGAAATAATTATATGTTTATGTTTTAAGAAGAATATAAACGTAAGTCCATGCTGCATGTACCGTATTTGATCCTATAGGCTCTTTACTGATGACAACTTTATTAATGAGAACTTGCAAATGCAAAATTATTCAACTGTATGATTTTGAAAAATTTTTTGAATTAGGAAGCCAGTTTTCTATTTCTTAAATGAATTTAAGTAGATTGTAATTTTTATGTGTTGAATTGGTTGTGGTTGAAAGATTTTTAAATAGTTTGATGTCCCTAATTTAAGGATGTGTAGTAGTAGTTTCTATAACATCACTTCCCTCTTTCAGGAACCAGATTTTATTGATGATATAGAAGAAAAAACTCCTATTAGTAATGAAGTAGAAATGGAATCAGAAGAGCAGATTGCAGAAAGGAAAAGGAAGATGGTAAGTTGAGAAGCCAGTAGGGGCTTTATGCTGTCACTTGGGCTTAGTGACAGTTGCTCTTCCCATAGAAATATAGTTGCTGCCTTTATGTGGGCTTTAACTCTGTTCTTTGTTTGAAGTTAGTAAATTTGGGGCCCATGATATGCCATGTAGCATTTTTGTTTGGCTTTTTCATTACCATTTAAATAAATTCCACTAATCTTTTGTATTTTTATTGGGTATTCATTAGAGATTTAAGAATGTATGACATTTAAGAAATATTTTATGAACATTTTTGAAGCTGAGAACTAATAAATTTTAATACCACAATTACTGTTCAAAATGTCTTTCATTAGCTAAATGTATCTTTTTTCTTCATGAGTTGATATAGAACAAAAATGGAACTTTAAACCTTAAAATAGCACCAAATACATGGGCTTATGCAAAAAAAAAAAAACAAAAAAAAACAAAAAAACCTGTTTGGAAGCTCCTATATCTATATTTTCATACTGCTGTCATACAGTAAGGGATTTCATTAAAATAAGTTTAGGATTTATATTCCTTGTACTACTTATTTGAAGATGTGTTAGTATAAAAACTAAGACAAGATATTTTCTCACAAATTGATAGTAATTTAGCATTTGATGAAATGTTTAGGCCAGTTAAAGTATCACAGTGTATTTTGAGTGCCCTAAGATTTGAAAGTGACTATACAAACCAGTTGATAATGTTATTATAGGTTCTCCCATCCCCCTTTTCTTTATATGCTCCTTTGTTTTCTGTTTTTGGGGTTTTCACGCTGTATTCCATAGAATCTCAAGTGTCACATATTTAGGGGTAAGATCTAATTTTTAAGTTAAGTTTAGGTCATCTTAAGCCTACTTAACATGAGTCCATTTTATCACCTTGATGGTTATCTTTCTAATGTTGATGTTCAAAGTTGTGAAAGCAATGTAGAATTCTTTCGTAGCCTTAGGATTTCAGAAACACTGGTCTGTTGAGACAGGGTGGTGTTAGAAGAAAAGCAAATACAGGAGAAAATATTGGAGGAGGTTGGTTATAAAGGAGTTCCTGTACCTCAAAGAATTATCTTGAACCTATTTCAAGATTCAGGCATATCTAAATTACTTGTACCTACTGAAATTACCTATGGTCCTTCTTGACTATTGATTTTTAGTATTGTTCTGTTCAATCCTCAATTGCCCCAGCCCTTTATTTGTACTAAACCTAAAGGAACTTTTGGAAAACCAATTTAGAGTCATCACTGGTTTCTTAATGGGGCATGTGTCTGGTGGGAGAAACCTCTTTTACAACTGGCTTTACGAGATATAGCAGCCACTCTGAAAAAGAAACACTGGAAGTTTGTTCTATTCCCATATGATAATTTTATTCAGATACACTGTTTTTATGATGGTGGGGCTACTTTTAAAATGTATCCTTCTATCAATGCAGAGAAAGTGGAACTTAGAACATCCTCATTTCCAGATTACAAAACATCAGATAACTGTTGATGTTATACCTAGTAGAACTTAGAAAAAATATATGTATATTGGCTTACTTGGAATCCATTTTTGGTACCAATATTGCTTATTGCTATAGTCAAATAGAATAGTTCCAAGTTTTTATATCCATTTTAGCATATTCTAATATCTGCAACTAAGGTGACTATGAAGCTGGGTATTTTTCATGGGAATAAAATGTGGAAAACTTGAAAAGTATGAATGTTTATAATTTGGTATTTTGAAAAGATGTGAAATAAAAATTTAAAAATACTTGGTTCTTTGACCTGTAGCCCTCAAAGTCATTGCAATCTTATTATTTCTACCAGTACATTTGGTTTAATGTTTAAATTATAGACTTTTTGGATGTAATCAAATAAGCAAAATTCAGATACACGCATCATAATTCCTGAACAAGTATTGTATGGTTCCTGCTTACCCCAAAGCATTCCATACTGTATTTGGTTTTGAAAAATTTAAATCTGTTGGTTAGATTAACATCAGTAGTCAGAAAGGTAAGGTCAAATCAAAAAGTACCAACTTAAAAAAGGGACAACTAAATCTTGACAAAGATAGTAGCCATACTACTCCTGAGAAACTTATGACAACTGATTTAAATGTTCTCCTCTGACAAGGTAAGATTTCCAAACTGTTATGGGTATAATAGGAGAAACAGGTTGAGTATCCCTCATCTACAATGCTTGGGACCAGAAGTGTTTCAGCATTTGGATCTTGGAATATTTGCATTATACTTAACACTTCAGCATCCCAAACCCAAAAATCAGAAATACTTCAATGAGCATTTCCTTTGAGCATCAGGTAGGCAATCACAAAATTTCAGATTTTAGATTTCTGATTTTGGATTTGAGATACTCAACTTATAAAAGCTATTGTGCATATTTACCAGATTGGGATAAGAGGAGTCAATAATGTCCTCCTCCCAGATAAATTCCATGTAATCTCCAAATTCAGATATACAGTAGTCCCCCTTTATCTGCAGGTTTGCTTTCTGAGTTACCCAGAAAGCAGTTACCCACTGTGGTTCAAAAATATTAAGATATTTTGAGAGAGAGACTACATTCATGTAACTTTTGTTAGTGTATTGTTTTATTAGTTGTTAATCTCTTACTATGCTTAATTTATAAATTAAACTTTATAAGTATGTATGTATAGAAAAAACATATCTAGGGTTCAGTACAACCTGTGGTTTCAGGCATCCATTGGAAGTCTTGGAACATATCCCCTGTGGATATGGGGGAACTCCTCTACTTTAGCCTATCCTTTTGTAGTATAGCTTGAACCATATGAAATGGACAGTTTTTATCTATGTAAATGACAGTTTCATATGACACCTAATATTTAACATCTTGCCCAGTTTCCAACAGTTGCACCAGGGGATTTATGTATTTTGGTTGTTGGTTACATTCTTTTTGCTGAGAATAGAAAATGAGAAAATGTCTCTGCCTTCACAGGTATTTACAAGAATAATTACAATTCAGCAATAACTGGTAAAGGAGATACAAATATAGTAGATAACTTATAGCTGGAGAGGCATCAAATACCATTTCATGAACTGTAGGTAATATGTGCTTATATTTATGATGGACTTTTCAGTAGGGTTTAACCAAATGCATATTAGCTTGTGGCTAAGTCATATGGAATTCATTTCTCCAGGGGAAATAACCTGGTGAGAATTATAAATACAATAAATTCTATTTGGCTGGGATAATACGCTGTTTGAGGGAAAGAGAGGGAGAGAAGGTTGTTTAGAGATCACATAAAATACTCAGTGATGAAAATTTCATGAAAGAATATTTACTCAAATAATTTTGTAGCTAAGATGGAAAAGACTTTTCGTTCTTAGTTCCATTTTCCCCCACCCCTTTTGGCCTTTTCTTTCATTACTATTTTTTTTTTTCATCCATTACATTTTGTCTTTTTTTCTTAAGAGGTTATTACCTGTTTACAAAAGAAAACTTGTGGCTAAGTTATATGGCACTGGATGGATGGTTATTGTACATTTCTTCTTTACTAAGAGATAATTCTTTGGCAGTGAGTTAGAATTGATTTGGAATAATCTTACCAGGAGCCCACTTAAGCTATGGAACTAGAAATACAGTAGTCTGTTTACTCACCTGATTCTAAAACCAGGGCACTACTGAGTGGACTCCTTCCAGTACATGTTAGTTGAGGTTGAGTTAGGTGGCTATACTCTTGTCGGATACATAAAGGATGTGGAAGGGGATCTGATACTGTGTTAAGTCTACTTTTAGTTTAACAAGTAATCATTTTAAAAATAGCAAACTTTTGAAATGTCAATTAAAAATGAAAACAAAGGCTTGTTCTCCTGTTCCATTTACAGTGGCATGAAAAGAACCTCCTTTATAATTTAATACTTCCAAAATAATTTTTCATACCCTTCATAATGTACCTGGTAATATCTGATGGCTCATTCTAATCAAATTGCTTAAAATGTAGAACATGGGTGGTTCAGGGTGGTCTTTATATTTAAAAGGACAGAAATTTGAGAAACAATGAAAGGATATGATAAGGATAGTCACCTAGGTATGAGATTCCTTGACTTGTCAAGCAACTAGGATTACTTGTATAGAATTACTAGTCTAGAATTACTTGTATATCATTAGAACATAACCCCACGAAAGTGACAGTTTCTAGTTTTATTTATTGTCATAGCCCTGGCTCCTAGGGAAAAAATGCTTGGTTTTTATACAAGTAGGCACTCAGTAAATGGGCCAACTGAATGTTTTATGACACCCATTTGAGAAAAGATATATAGATAGACAGATAGACAGACAGACAGACAGACAGACAGACAGACAGACAGACAGACAGATAGATAGATAGATAGATAGATAGATAGATAGATATTTATACATATCCATGAATGTGAACCAAAGGAAACTTCCTACACTTCAGGTAGGCCTGGAGGCTTTGCCCAGGATTGTGCAGGATTCCCCACAATTTTCTCAGTTCTCATCCTTCACATCAAAAAAAGTATTCCACAGAAGTCTAATTTGAGATGTTCTATGAAAAGAGGGAGCTCTGTGACCAGTTGAATTTAGTAAACACTATACCATATCCCACACTTTACATATGGTGTGTTTAAAAGCTCTTGAGAAATTGCTTTTCAGCATTTCCTAAACTTGTACACCCTGGTAACTTATTTTTATTGGGATGGGTGACACCTTTGACATCCCATAGATTTTTATTCAATGGAACAAACACTCCAGGAAAACAGTACTATACAGAATCTGTGCTGTTACTAATGCCTCTAGGGAGTGATTTGATTTAGAAAATCACTTTAGAAGATGTAAAGTTTTAATAATACTAAAATATAATTGAGCATGGTAAATTTGTTGCCTGAAAAGTCATCTGATGACAGGAATGTGTGATATATATCATCAACTCACTGATCTCTCCTTATAGCATGATTAAGTTGATGCTGATTCAGAATTTTCTTTTTGTAAGGTCCTGTTTTCTCATTGTAGAGATTAGGAATTATAATTAATGACACTGTAGTATTAAATAATAAAAGGGAACTTGTTTATTTTTATAGGTATTCTGTTCAAACAAAATGAGTTTATGCAGATTTAGCTGCCTTGTAATAAATTCAGGATTTTCAAAATCCTTGTTTTAATGCTTCCAGTTACATGTCTTGAATTAATATAGCGGTACATGCTTTGTATTATGTATACACAATTCTTATCCATTTAACAAAAATGTGAGTGCTTACCATATACTAAGAACCATTTGAAGTATTAGGTGAACAAACAAGGCTAGATCACTGCTTTGGAGATTTCATAGAGAATGGGGTACAGGTAATAAAAATGAATATCAAAATAGTAAACAGTACTATGAGGATAAATTAAGTCATATGAGAGAGGAAATGGAGATACAACATAAGCCATACATACTACTTTGGAATGATTTTTATTGGTAACCAATTATCTTATCCATCTTTCAAGATTCATAAATTAATCTGTATTTGCTATTTATTTAGATAAGGGAAGTTTTTTTGAGTAAGGTATCTTTTAGTTTCTCTATTTCAAGACCATAGAGTTAGGGTAATTTGGCAGGTGGGTTCTAGCTTTCCCTTTCCTTTAAAAGGCAGTTTTGTGTTGTTTTTAAGAAAAGCTACTTCCCAGCTGGTAGCAAGGTAGAAAAAATAAATCCCTTGATGCTTTTGGTTTTTTTCCTCTACTATTAGCAAATTTCCCTCTAAAGCTATATGGCATCCATAGGCTCATAGGTTTGTTTTTACTGTTTCAAATGACCAGATACATTTTCTAAACTATATCAGTTTACTCAGTGAAGTTTATTTTTTCAGTTGCAATATTGTATAACACTTTATTAATTCTTGTTCTTTATAATGTAACCCTTGAACCTTATGGACCTTAGGCTTTCCCGTTTGTTGAATAGGAAACTTGGACAAAATCTCTATAGTCTTTTCCAACTACAGTTAATTATATAATTTCAAGTTAAATTTTTACTCTGGTGTTTTTATAACTTTGAAGCACATAGCTGGAGTAAAAATTCTCAAAATACCCACCCTTCAAGTGACAGGGATATTATTAAGCAGATGTTTTCTTCTGCTTATTGGAAATTACAATACTCTAGTCTTGTAAAACCATGAACTAAGATATTTCATAAAAACATAGATCTCATGGGAGATCCTACATTTTAGTACCCAACACTCCAGCATTGTCAGAAACTATGCAGTATTCCTAAGAGGCAATCCTATCTAATTATAATTCTGTATCAAGATCTATCAATTGCATAACTGAGAGGTAATAAAATGGCTTTGAGATCAAGACAATGATGGCTTGGAATGAGTCGTGGTTATAGAAAATACATGGCACAGTATAAACTACATGTGACAAGTATAAACTATATCAAGCACAGGTGTTAGGGGTTATGGAAAATCTAGGGTTAATTAGGACTCTTAATTTCTCTAATCTCTACACAGCTGTGACTACCTCAAGCTAGATATATAACTTTTCAGTTAGATCTATAAAATAGGTGCAAATTTTTGGTCATTAAATAGATATCACATACCTGGTTATGTGCCATAGAATATGTTGCATTAGATGCAACAGCACATAATAAAGCTGAATGACATATGAACTTTCAGGAATTTAAAAAGTAGATCAGTGAACTATGATTTTTATCAATGTAGAAAATCAGGCATGTTTATATTCCCAAACATTTGTGTGTTTGTTCTTACTCATTTGTAGTAATGCAGGAAGATTTATGCTTTGTTTTATGTAGTGCCAGTAGTTGTTAATTGAAAAGAAGAGTAAATTAGGAAGCCAGGAAACTTGCATAGTAATTATGGTCTGCTTTGAGTGAGTCATACAATACTTTTGGGCTTTTATTTCTTCAGAAGTATAGGACTTTTTTTTTTTTTTTTAAGATAGAGTCTCACTCTTTACCTGGGCTAGAGTGCCATGGCGTCAGCCTAGCTCACAGCAACCTCCAACTCCTGGGCTCAAGCAATCCTTCTGCTTCAGCCTCCCAAGTAACTGGGACTACAGGCACACGCCACCACACCCGGCTAATTTTTTCTATACATTTTTAGTTGGCCAATTAATTTCTATATTTAGTAGAGATGGGGTCTCTTGCTCAGGCTGGTTTCGAACTCCTGACCTTGAGCAATCCTCCTGACTTGGCTTCCCAGAGTGCTAGGATTACAGGCGTGAGACACCATGCCCGGCTAGGACTACTTTTTAAAAAAATTCTTTGGGAAGTGGTCTTGCTCAACTGTTACCCAGGCTGGAGTACAATAGCACCATTGTAGCTCGCTGCAGCATTGAACTACTGGGCTCAAGTGATCCTCCTGCCTCAGCCTTCTAAAGTGCTGGCATTATAGGCATGAGTCACCACACCTGATCAAGGACTATATTATTTTTTAAGATCCTGACCAGCTCTAAAAGATTATGAATCATTTCTAAATGTAGGGTTTTGCTTTGACTACCAGTTAGTTGTACTGTTTACAAGGGAGTTCAATTTTTAATTCAATCAGTTTGAATCTTTACATCATATAATTTTATCTCTGACCCTCACTACTGCCATGCAAAACAAGGGAATATTGGAGTATGTCAAGAAACTTATTTTGGCATAAATTCATATTAATCTCAGAAAGTCCAGACTAATCATTATACAGAAAATGTCTTCCACAGGTGCTTGTCTTGTGGGTAATTTTTGCCAAGACAGTTTACAGTTTGTTTCATCTGGAAAAATATTCTTTTCCCAAATTTAAAAATTTTTTGGAAAGAAGTAACCACAGTAATTAACTCATCCCCTCCAACCAGGTTCAACAGGTGAAGCAATTATGAAAATAGTCTTTTTAAGTAATTCTAGATTTCTCAATTTAGGGATTTAGAGAAGCCCTGATATATGGATACAGGATTTTTCATAGAGAGGCACACGACAAAAAAGGTCAAGTAAGGTAATTTAAAATTAAAGACTAGAGCCATAGGATTGTCTAAGGTAAGAACTGAGCTTTAAAACTTCTAGTTCCTGGCTGGGCATGGTGGCTCACACCTGTAATGCTAGCACTCTGGGAGGCCAAGGTGGGAGGATTGCTCAAGCTCAGGAATTCGAAACCAGCCTTAGCAAGAGCGAGACCGCATCTCTACTAAAAATAGAAATTAACTGGCCAACTAAAAATACATAGAAAAAATTAGCCGGGCACAGTGGCGCATGCCTGTAGTCCCAGCTACTTGGGAGGCTGAGGCAGAAAGATTGCTTGAGCCCAGGAGTTTGAGGTTGCCGTGAGCTAGGATGACGCCATAGCACTCTAGCCCAGTCAACAAAGTGAGACTCTGTCTCAAAAAAAAACCCAAAAAACAAAACTTCCAGTCCCACTGAACAAATAAGACTAAATTTGCCTGTGCCATTTTACTGTGTGATTGCCCATCCAGACCAGGAGAGATACAGATATGTGTCCATGTACAAGTAACCTTACCTCTTTGGACCTCAGTTTCCTCGGTGTCACGTTTGCAGTATGGCAATTTGCTGTAACAAATTAGAAACTCAGAAGTATTCTGAGAGCAGTTTTGTTAACATACTATTTTGTTCCCTTGCTGAGTGTAACAAAGAAAAAAAACAGGGAAGAGTAATAAGCAGTATCTTCCAGAGTGTAGGTATCTTGATGCTTGAGTCTTTGTTGGTAATTACTGGAACTAAAGCTCCAACATTGAGAAGACTACAGCAGCCAGACCTTGAGTTTCTGATCTTTCTTTCTTTCTTCCCCACAATGATGACAATAAAGAAGGAAAGACAAATGGATCTGAGCCTGAGGACCTGGTTCTTTTCATTTGGAGAACTGGACAGTTGATGGATGTGCTTCCTGGTTCTAGTTGAGAGCTGAAGCATTTGCCAGGCCCACTGGTCAAGGCTCTGGGTCTTGCTGTTAATGTTCTCCATCCAAAGAGAACTGATGCTAAGAGGAACTCTTGCTGTTCCTCAGACCCTGTCTTGAACTGTCAGTGTAAGACAGGAAGAGCAGAAGGTAGAGGAATGCTTTATGAGAATTATAATGTAGGGCAAAAGGGCTAAAGTATAAACAATAAACACAGAATGCCTACCATTTTTTTAAGTACTGTTTGAAAACCTCACATTTTCTATTTGAACTCAGTAACAATCTGCTGAAGTGTAAGTGTTGTAGTGTCAGAAAGGTTAACTAACTTGCCTAGGATCACAGAGAATACTGACTGGTAGAGTCATGATTTGAACCTAAGACTTTACAACATCCTGCTACATGTCATTAATATATTCACTGCTTAAGTGCCTATGAATTTTACCTTTTCAACATATCATTACCTTAAGAATTTTAAATCTTTTTAAAAAGGCTGGTTTTTCTATTATTAAGAACAAGATTTTCAGTTTGGTCAAGTAAGGTAGTGTCTGAGGCATTTTTATTTTTGTTTACCCATATCATTAACACTCAGTCAGAAATATTTATAATGATAAGTCTTAGTAAGATGGTGTTTGGGATTCTGAAAGATCTTGAATATAAATGTTTTCTTCCCTATATCTATCAATAATAGAAGTATTTTGCTTACAGTATCATAGCAATTATTTTTTAAATTTGCCATGAACATTTGGACTTACAAAGTTTACTTGTGAGTAGTGAGATTTATAACATCACTTAAAACTTAAATTTCATAGACAAGAGAAGAAAGAAAAATGGAAGCAATTTTGCAAGCTTTTGCCAGACTTGAAAAAAGAGAAAAAAGAAGAGAACAAGCCTTGGAAAGGATCAGCACAGCTAAAACTGAAGTTAAAACTGAATGTAAAGATGCACAGATTGTCAGTGATGCTGAAGTTATTCAGGTATTATTATTCAGGTTGTTTTATTTTCATATTTAAATATCTTCAAATAAAATTTCCATACATGATTTAATTATACCTATAAAGAATTTTAAATAATGCATATTGGCCTTTTAATAGCATTTTTCAAATCTTATGGGAATTTAAACTTAGATATAAGACTAGATTTGTTCTTTAGGGTTACCAATTTTTTGATTATGTCGATTTATTATATATATCAGAATTCATAGAAATTCTGGATAGTTAGCTTCTGAAGTAGATTAATGCTATTATATTTGAATATATATATACACACACACACACACAAACACATAGTATCAAAAGTTCCACTATGTTGTATTTTGAACTAGGAACAAGCAAAAGAAGAAACTGCTAGCAAGCCAACTCCTGCCAAAGTAAATAGAACTAAACAGAGAAAAAGTTTTTCTCGAAGTAGGACTCACATTGGACAGCAGCGTCGGAGACACAGAACTGTCAGCATGTGTTCGGATATCCAGCCATCTTCTCCTGATATAGAAGTTACTTCACAACAGAATGATATTGAAAATACTGTACTTACAATAGAACCAGAAACTGAAACTGCACTATCAGAAATAATTACTGAAACTGAAGTTCCAGCACTTAATAAATGTCCTACAAAGTACCCCAAAACAAAGAAGGTATGATTCTTAATAAATGTAAGAACTATTTTCTAACATCAGTATCTTAATGATATTAAATAACTACATTAGTGTTGTAAAAATTCAATTGATAACAGAATAAAGAAGCGAAGTTTTTATACTTGCAGACTTTTTTCTTTTAATGAGAATTGCAAAAGTGTATAATCAGTTAACAGAAATGTCTGCATTATTATGAAGACAGTTATATTCAGTATATCAAGACTTTTAGTAGTGCAATTCATGATTTCTTTAAATAAGTTCGCCTGCCTTATGTACAAAATATATACTTTAATGAACTGGTTTTAGACATGTTATCCTTAGTTGTATTTTTATAAATTCCATTGTATAGATAGATTACAAGAATTAATTGTGAAGAAAGTGTTGACTTCAACAAGAATATACTACTATGAAAAATTATAAGAGTAGTTTTATTTTTAATTTTATTTATATTTATTTATTTATTTATTTATTTATTTATTTATTTATTTATTTATTTATTTATTTATTTATTTTTGAGACAGAGTCTTGCTCTGTTGCCCAGGCTACAGTGCATATTTTTAGTAGAGACGGGGTCTCACTCCTGCTCAGGCTGGTCTTGAACTCCTGACTTCAAGCGATCCTCCTGCCTCGGCCTCTCAGAGTGCTAGGAGTACAGGCATGAGGCACCGAGTCCAGCCAGGAAGAGTAGTTTTAGATCAAATTATTAACAAAAATCTTTGGAAAAACTATCGTCAGACTTAATGAAGCAATTATGGGAAAATATTTACTGAATTAAACTAACCTGAGCTCTTCAGATCATAAATAACAGGAACATCTTGTGAAGCTTTTCTTTTTTTCCTCACACTGACTAGAGTATTAGCAGAGTGGAACAGAGATACCAAAATGGTAATCTTTAGGCTCTTTGTGAAGCAGATAGAGCATAAAGGTATCTTTCTCACACACTTCTGTAACAAAGTACTTTGAAGTTTCATTTATTTTGTCTTTGTTCTTACATAATTCAGTTACTGTAGGCAGGCTGCTAAACCAGAAGTATATTTTGGAAAATTCTAGTAAGAACCAGTATTCTATTTTAAAGGCAGAGGTTAGATAACTGACTTGCCACAGAGTCACACGTTTCATTAGAAAGAAGATCTAAACATAGTTGTGTCTAACTCAAAGTCTATGTTCTCCTTACTGCACCATGTAGCTTAAGCAAGCAAGCAAGCAAGCCAATGTTTGCCTTTAACAATGAGCATCATTTTCCCCACCTTAGAACAAAAAAATAATTCCAGCTTTTCTTTATGATGTGAAAAGAAAAAACTCAGGTTTAAAAGAAGTGAAACTACTTTTATTATTACAAATAGGACGTGATCCGTACCCTTTATTAATCAACTATTGCGGTGCTACACATTTATTTAAATCACTGGTCTGAGATGAAGTCTCCCTCATGCCCCTCATCTGAGATGTAGGTTTCTATAACCTATCTGATTCTCTAAAAAAGCCTCTTTTGATTGCTGGTTTTGCTTGCTTATGGTATTGTTTATTTTAACAATCTATTGTTTGCCAGGGTACCAAATTATCATCATGATTTTCCCTAAGGGGCCTCATTTATTTTAATAATACACATATCATTTATTCTGTGCCAGATGCTATTGTAAGAGCTTTATATATGTTATTTAACTCCTTTAATCTTTACAGCAACCCTAGTTGTAGAATTAGGTTCTGTTATGACCCTTCTTTTGTAGATAAAGATTGAGATGTAAAGAAGTTACATAACTTGCTCATAGTCACAGTGTAAACTGGCAAAGCCAGTATTCACCCTCCTGCAGTCTAGCTCCAGACTCCATGTGCTTCACTACTGCACACTAATCCTAGAAAGGTAGTTCTATCTATACACACAGAAAAAGAAAGAAAAGGTGCCAAAATGTTTACAGCGGTTACCTCTGGAAGACAGGATAGGTAGAATAATTTTTAATGTGTTTCTATATGTGTGTCTGTGTGTGAGTGTACATAAGCACACATATATACATTAATTTGTCAACACTTCCTATAAATTACATTTAGAACTTATAGAACTTAGAACTTAAAATAATAGAACTTAATTAGAACTTAAAATAATACTATTTGACAACTACCTAAAGATATGAATGCCCTTACAGCAAAGAAAATGTTACTAAATAACTAGTTTTTTAATAAGTGAACAGTACTTTATATTTCAAGAAGTTATATTCATATAGTTAGTAAAGACTGAATTATGTACATTATAGATCAAATAATTAACAGAATTAAGGACTATGTAAATATTCAAAGCACATGAACTTCAAGAGATATTTCAAATTCCTTAAGTCAGTGATTGTCGGCGCTGACAGTCATTTTTTAAAATATACTGTGTGCACTGACCTTGTCTCTAGGAGATTCTAAGGAGCAGACAGGGCAGAAAAACACTGCCTAAAATCAGATTTTTCTAATAGATTTAACATTTTATACCTATAATAGAAGCAGCAACAAACCTAAATTTAGTGTTTGTATACACTAAAATGGTATTGATGTCTCCTAGTTTTTACTATATTAAAAAGCTTTAGTGTCTTTTTATAACATAAATTTTATAAAAGCAACCATGTTTTTTGTTCCTATAAAATACTGGGCAAAAAATTTCAAAACAACATAACCAAGAAAATGTAGAATGATATATTGCTTTTTGGAAATTATATATGAATGATTTAAATTACCAATTTATCATGTTAGATATTTAGATAAAGTATCAATTTCAAATCTTGTATTAAAATATTCAATAGGAGAATCTGGGCAGTTACATTTATAGTGATCCAATTTTTCTTTTCTCTAGCACTTGGTGAATGAATGGTTAAGTGAGAAGAATGAGAAGACGGGAAAACCTTCAGAAAGCCTTTCAGAAAGGCCTCTGCGCATAACTACAGATCCTGAAGTGTTAGCTACACAGCTCAATTCTTTACCAGGTCTCACTTACAGCCCCCATGTATACTCTACCCCTAAACATTATATTAGATTTACTTCACCATTCCTTTCAGAAAAAAGGAGAAGAAAAGAACCTACTGAAAACATTTCTGGCTCATGCAAGAAGGTAAACTTTTCTTTGGATATAAAAATCTAGGATGAGCCAAATGCCAATTTCATTCCTTACTACCTACCATTCCTGGTAGTGAAATGCTTTTATAATCACCTCTGCGTTTATAGGCTAAATAAACAGCCAAAACCTGATTCCTATTAATTTATCATTCTATGTTATTCAGAGATGGTTGAAACAAGCTCTGGAAGAAGAAAATTCAGCAATTTTACATAGATTTAATTCACCCTGTCAAGAAAGATCCAGAAGTCCTACAGTCAATGGTGAAAATAAAAGTCCACTACTATTAAATGACAGCTGTTCCCTTCCAGGTAGAATTTCTTTTCAGTATTGTTTTAATGTGAGGAATGTGGCAGGATGTATACATAGCTTTTATAACAGGGACATTTTAGTTATTGCTCTGCACTTTAGAAGAGAAGCACATTGTTATATATATTTTCTCCTCTGTCCTCCAGATTCTTTGGATGAAGATATAAGTTTGCAATACCATGTGTGTTGGGGTTTATGGTTGAATTTTTAAAGGCCTAGTTTGGCTTTGGGACTGGCTGCTTTTTAAACAGATTCAAAAGGACTTTTTAAAAAAAAATCAGTTAAAGTAACATACTACTTGTAAGATTTCTTTGATACCCGAAGGCCTATAAACCTTTAGGCAAGATGATGCTTGCTAATCATGAAATTAACTAATTTTGGGGTGGAGAGATTGCTTTATGTTAGTACCATTTTTGAAACCCTGAAATTTAGTTTTGGGGTGAAAGTAATCATAATTACTAATTGTTAATATTTTATCTTTCCCAGAATGTAATATATATTGTAGCAACTACCAGCAGTACAATTTCTTACAGATTATTATTTCACCAACAGATTTAACTACACCACTAAAAAAACGAAGACTTTATCACTTGCTAGATTCTGTTTACTCAGAAACCTCCACACCTACTCCTTCACCGTATGCTACACCAACTCACACAGATATTACTCCTATGGATCCATCATTTGCCACTCCTCCACGGATAAAATCAGATGATGAAACTTGTAGAAATGGTTATAAACCCATATATTCACCAGTTACCCCAGTAACTCCTGGTACACCAGGAAATACCATGCACTTTGAGGTAAGATATTAAATGAGAAAAAAAATGTCAATCCTTGTGGGTAGGGTTTAAGAGCCCCCCCCATCTTTCAAATAAGTGTGCTGAGTAAGAGTAGAAAGTAAGTTTTCAAGATAGCAGAACAAAATTGGGAACATGCTTTTATATGAATTTAAATGCTTTTATTTTTACTAATATGAGGTTAACTTTCATCTTGATATACACAAGAGACTGGGTGTGTATTGAACTGACCTCAAAGCTAATATCTTGCTAATATCTTATTTGAGGAGTGGAAATAAAATAAGAAAGAAAGTCTAAAACCAGAGTCTATGTAGTAGTTTCTCATTTTGTTTTCGTTTCTATAACTATTATGGATTTAGTTATATATTTTAATTTTCAATTCTGATTATTTCTTTTATATAGAATATTTCTTCCCCAGAAAGTTCTCCAGAAATAAAGAGACGCACTTACAGTCAAGAGGTAAGAAGTTATCAGAAAGGGGGTGAATTGGTGATTTTTTGCTATTACCATTATTTTGCTTAAATTACTGGTAGGATTTTGAAATAAATAATCTCAAGACATGATTATTTGTGTAATTTTTTTTAAAAAATTCTTTAAACAGGCATATGACAGATCGTCAACTGTGTTAACATTGGGGCCTTTTAGAAATTCCAATTTAACCGAACTGGGTCTGCAAGAAATAAAGACTATTGGTTATACCAGCCCTAGAAGTAGGACTGAAGTCAGCAGGCAGTGCCCTGGAGAAAAGGAACCTGGGTCAGATCTTCAACTGGGACTCGATGCAGTCGAGCCAACTGCCTTACATAAAACCATGGAAACGCCTGCACATGACAGGACTGAGCCTAATAGCCAACTGGACTCGACTCACTCTGGACGGGGCACAATATATTCTTCCTGGGTAAAGAGTCCTGACAGAACAGGCGTTAACTTCTCAGTGAACTCCAACTTGAGGGATCTGACACCCTCGCATCAGTTGGAGGTTGGAGGAGGCTTCCGAATAAGTGAGTCAAAGTGCCTGATGCAGGATGATACTAGAGGCATGTTTATGGAAACAACTGTGTTTTGTACTTCCGAAGATGGGCTTGTATCTGGTTTCGGACGGACTGTTAATGACAATTTGATCGACGGGAGTTGCACACCCCAGAATCCACCACAAAAGAAAAAGGTTACAAATTTAACAATTTATAGTCCTTTTAATATTTTTTTTTCATATTACTGAGGGTAATTGGTAGTTATATGTATTATATAAGGCATTCCTTAATTTATTCAAGTTAAAATTTTTATATGTGTATTTTTAAACCTTTTGTAATGCTCACTTAATTAGAAATGTTTACAGAAAAGTAAAAAATTCTAGTAATGTGGGAAATCCTTGTAAGGAGGATGGTTTCAGAGACAGAAACCTCAAGAGTTTACTCACCAAATGAGTAACTTTTCAAAATAAGCACTCCCCAATTCAAAAATCAGACTTGAATAATATTTGTTATTACCTTTATTTTACAGAGAATAGGCAGTCTTACATAGAAGGAATGCCTTTTCCCTAATCCATAATATCTACAATATTTAGGCCCTGGGTATAAGAGAGTTTTGGAAAGTAATATACTACTATATAACTATTATTTATTAAATGAATTCCCTGATTTACCACCATTAGCAGACATACTGAAACATTTAGAATGCCTTATTTCAGAAGGATGGGAGAAACTGTAGTACTTATTTTGTTAGTAGGCTTATTGCTTTGCAAGTCAAAGAATTTTAGTGATGTGTGCTTTTAATTTTTGTAACAGAGTCCAGTTGGCAACTTTGTGGGAAGCAATGTAGTATAGTGGAAAGAGCACGGGCTTTCAAGTAAGACCTAGGTTCGAATCCCGGCTCCAACACTCACCAGCTGTGTGACCTTGAGTGAGTGAGTTACTCAATTTCCTCATCTGTAAAATGGGGATGATAATATACCTATTTCATAGGGTTGTTGTGAGGATTAAATGAGATAATGTATGTAAATCATCTAAGTACAATGCCTGGCATATAGTAGGCATTTGATAATTGTTAATTATTATTTGTTCAGAATTGAATTATTTTATATTAATTCTCTTTATGTAAATATAGTAATTCTCTTTATAAAAAAAGAATGGATTGGTTCTGACATAAAAACAAGGATAAAAGATTTGTTTTGTCTTATCTTTCTTGCTTAAGGTATCTCTGTTAGAATACCGTAAGAGACAACGTGAAGCTAGGAAAAGTGGCTCTAAGACAGAAAACTTTCCACTGGTTAGTGTATCACCTCATGCAAGTGGAAACTTGAGCAGCAATGGTGATGGGTGTGCCAACAGTAGTGAAAATGGGGAGCAGGTAGAAAACACTGCTAGCCTACCGTTACCAACACCAGCTACAGTTTATAATGCTACTTCTGAAGAAACCAGCAATAACTGTCCTGTTAAGGAAGCTACTGCCAGTGAGAAGAATGAACCAGAAGTTCAATGGTAAGCCTGTTTTGAAGTTTGCTACTCTGGAAAGAACAAGCTTTTGTTAATGAACTATTCTTCTTTGCTGTTCTTCTTCTAAGGCTTAAGCAGATAGTGGTTTGTGGTCATAATTTTAAAAGATCCTTTTTGGTAATAGGGTTTTAAACCAGCTGTATATTGCCTGTGTTGTTAAAGGTCCATTGTGTTTATTCCTTGATAATTTATTCACATTTTTCATGCAAATTTCCTCTCCAAAGAACTTCTATCAGGATTAAGCCATCCTGCAAAATTTCTTTATAACACTACCAGTTACTTTGAAAGAACCACCAGGTGTATTGTTTCCATAGAAGGAATGGGTCTTGGCAAAGGTAAAGAGGCCACATTCACTTTGCTCCTTGGTGTCCCCTTCCTTGGGTCAGCTTACAAGCCTGACCCAAAGCAATTTGTTAGGGGCATGTTTTGGTACCTCTGGTAATCTGAAGTGACATTCTGTTAAGGTACTATCTTCAACTCCTCCTTCTTTTCAACAAGAAATTGCTGGAGACAAAGAAATTGAGACTGATTGAGTTCTTCAGATAAATGGTGATAAAGATGAAAATCTCAGTTTGGGGAGTTTGCAAAATAAGATTAGCTATTTTCAAAGTTTAACACCAAAGTATTTTCGTACTAGAGCAAAAGCCTTGGGCTGAGAGGACATGTTGACCATCAAGGGACAAAAAAATAAATCTAGCTGGCAGTTTGAGTTGAGGATGATGTGATTTTGTTTTAAAGGACTGCCTCAACTTCTGTGGAACAAGTGAGAGAAAGGAGTTATCAGAGAGCTTTACTTCTCAGTGATCACCGAAAAGATAAAGATGGTGGTAAGTGACCTTGTTCCTTCACCGAAAAGTACAGTCAGTTAATCACTCTGCATCCCCGTTCTTTGCAGCTCTAATGTTCTCTTTGGGTCTGCTCTGCTTCATCTCTAGGGGGAGAATCACCATGTGTCTCATGTTCACCGAGTCATATTCAGTCTTCACCTTCATCTCATTCAAATCACATTCCCCAGTTGCAAGCTAAGGGCCCAGTCCCTTCATTCAGTGAACTTATGGAAGGTCAGTAAGCAGATGACCTATCATGGTTACTGTTTTAAACCCCTTTCTACATCAGAAAAAAGAGAGCCTTTATAATAAGTCAGTTGAATCTGCATTGCATTGTGGTGTTAATAAAAGACAGTGTTTCTCATGTAATTTTACATTTACTATACATTCCTTCTGCATTACAGACCATGATCCTGAAAATCCAGAACCCATGACTACAAGTGAATGTCCATCCCCGGATACTTCTCAAAATACCTGTAAAAGCCCTTCAAAAATGAGCAAGGTAATAATAACATTGACCTTTGGATGTGCCTGTTCAGAAAAGCTGATTGTAATATGCAGACAGAGTTTTCTGCTATGTCAAGTATCAGTTTGTGATTTCTGAACACTTTAATCTGTTAAACATACTCAATTGTATTTACTACTTTATTTATTACTTTTTCATTCTCTCTTCAATGAACTGTTGTGTATAAACATATAAGTTTTCTAAGCATACTTTAAGAGTTTATTTTCTCCTAAAGTTCCACCATTATTCTAGTGGTGTCTAGGAAACTGGTAGCCTTTTCATGAACCAGCCAGTTAATTGTCCAGAAACAGAAAGTCAGGTGACATTGATTTAAGGGAATGATATCTCCATCCTGGCTCATGAAGATGTGATAATTTGATATGGCATGCATATCACTGCAAACTACAGATGAGGAATCTGAGATTTTTTTTTTGATGCTAGATGTAACTTGGATTATTTTTATTTTAAGCTCACTATGAGAACTTGTTTGAACTATTAAAAAAAACTGACCTTTCAACATCCCAAGCCTCTATAACTGACTTCAAATCTATACAGGAAATACCATTAAATATCACCAAGAAATTACTTGGGGTTAGAAGAATAAACCTCAAGGTACACAAAATGTTTAAGTTTATATAAACATAAATTTATTTGTATGACTTGTTTTCTTTTCATAGCCTGGTTCACCAGGACCTGTACTTCCTGCGCAAGCACATGGGAAAATACTCACAAAACCAGATTCCCATTGGGAGGCAACAGTCATTGTATCAGAAGCTGAGAACAGTGTCCACCTAAAACCAGAGCTCCAACAAAAACAGCTATCAAATAACCCCCAAGCACTTTCAAAGAATCATCCTCCTCAGCCACATGTTCGCAATTCATCTGAGCAACTTTCACAGAAGCTGCCTTCTGCACCAGCCAAGCTGCACTGTCCTCCATCACCTCACGTAGAAAATCCTCCAAAGTCATCTACGCCCCACACACCTGTACAGCATGGTTATCTGTCACCAAAGCCTCCTTCACAGCAGCTAGGATCTCCCTATAGGCCTCACCATTCACAGTCACCTCAAGTTGGAACACCCCAGCGAGAGCCTCAGAGAAACTTTTATCCAGCAACACAGAACCTTCAAGCCAATACTCAGCAGGCAACTTCTGGAGCATTATTTACACAGACACCCTCAGGACAATCTTCAACAACATACAGTCAGTTTAACCAACAAAGTCTGAACAGCACGGCCCCACCCCCTCCACCCCCTCCGCCTCCCTCCTCTTCGTCTTATTATCAAAACCAGCAGCCCTCTGCAAACTTTCAAAATTATAATCAGCTCAAAGGTAGTCTTTCTCAACAAACTGTGTTTACATCAGGACCAAATCAAGCACTTCCTGGCACCACAAGCCAGCAAACAGTTCCAGGACACCATGTTACTCCAGCGCATTTTTTGCCCTCTCAGAACCCTACTATTCACCATCAAACCTCTGCTGCTGTCCCACCCCCTCCTCCTCCTCCTCCTGCTCCAGGACCACACCTTGTACAACAGCCGACTTCCCATCAGCAACACTCTGTAGCACATGTAGTGGGGCCTGTTCATGCTGTCACTCCTGGGTCACATATTCATTCTCAAACTGCTGGACACCATTTGCCACCACCTCCTCCCCCTCCTGGTCCTGCCCCTCATCACCACCCCCCACCCCATCCTTCCACAGGACTCCAAGGTCTACAAGCACAACACCAGCATGTTGTAAATTCAGCACCCCCACCTCCCCCTCCGCCACCACCTTCCGGTGTTTTGGCTTCTGGGCACCACACCACATCGGGTCAAGCCTTACACCACCCACCTCATCAAGGACCTCCACTTTTTCCTTCAAGTGCTCATCCAGCTGTACCACCGTATCCCTCACAAGCTACACATCACACCACTTTGGGACCGGGACCCCAGCACCAGCCTTCTGGAACAGGGCCACATTGTCCATTACCTGTTGCAGGTCCTCATCTCCAGCCCCAAGGACTAAACAGTATTCCAACACCTACTGCTTCAGGGTTCTGTCCTCATCCTGGCTCTGTGGCCCTGCCACATGGGGTTCAAGGACCTCAGCAGGCATCTCCAGTGCCTGGACAGATTCCAATTCACAGAGCACAGGTGCCACCAACATTTCAGAACAATTACCATGGTTCAGGGTGGCATTAAAATGGACTCCAAAAACATTTTTTTAAATGTTCTGTAAGATAAACTGTATATTTCATATGTACCTGTTAAGGTACTTTTTAAAGCTTGTACATGAAACTTTGTATAAAAAAACACCAGTGCTCTTTCATTGTATTTTTTCCCATTTTTGCTTTTTAAAATTCCTTTCAAAATGTGCTGTTAAGCCAGTATTAGGTATCTTTATTTTGTAAGTGAACATTCCAGCAGTTTTTCTGGCAGTAGATTTGATGCTACATGATCTTTAAATTTTATTGTTGCAGTTAAATTCCTTTAGTGAATGTTTTCTATATTATTTTATACATATGCATTAAGTACACAGCTAAGTATTGGCACTATGAGGATTTTCATTTTTTTTTTTTTTTCTGTCAGCAGTTCTGTGAGTGCATCTTAGGTATAAAAACGCAATACAGATTTTTATAGTTTGGTGTGGACATGGCTCATTTTGTTTTATTGGTTAATTGCAAGCAAAATGTAATTTAATGTATAGATGATTTCTAATGTCTCCTGACAAACTGTAAATACTGCATTTCTTTTGCGTATATAATTGCTTACAGCTTTTCTCATTTGATATATAAGCATTGTACATATGACAAGTCTTTTGCAAAACTGTGTGATCTTTGTGAAAGTAGTACAGTATATGACATTTAATTTCTTTTTTATTTTAAATATACTGTCACATTGAAGCACTGGTTGGGCATTTTAATTCATGTTAATAAATCACAATTATGTCAGTTTTATCAAATTGTCCTGTACAACTTCTAAGATTGGGGTCTACATAAGTGTTTCTACAAAAGTTATAGTTTTCAAATATAATTTGTAAGGAGCCTTCAGTTTTCTTTAGTGACTACTACCTCAGATGGTAGCTAGCAACAGGAGGCAATAATGGGTTGTTCCTGTAATGGTTCTTTCTTGCCATTTTTGCAAGAGCCATATAGAAAATTATTTAAAAAGTCATGCTGTATAACTTTACTTAGTATCTGACATCATACAGAACAAACCCAGACCACTAATGCATTACATGTGATACACTTAAATTGTAACTTACTACCTATTCAAAAATATGAGTAGTCTGCCTAAAACACAGGAGTATCTAATTTGTACATTTTAGAATATAAGTGAAATGTCCTATTATTCAAAATGATTTGGATTAAGTATATTTATATTCCACAGTAATAACACTGTGTATCAACACATCTTCATCACCCAGTTACCTGACATAATTTGGCACAGTATACAAATTTTATGCATCAGAGAAAAAAGTAAACAGACTTAAAAATGACTGAGATGTGGTGGTAATTTAAGTCATGTTTTGTACTTTTAATTTCCATTTTCTTTTGAAAATTAACTAATGGAGCATTAAAACACAGCTCGTTTAAGGGCTCAATCCTAATCAGCTTCAAGTTTTAGAAGAACCCAGGTCAACTCTGCCATCCTTTACTTGTCAAACAAAATTCTCTCATACGGTATTCACTAAAAAAACATTTATATGAGAAGAAATGACTTCATATCATTCATCCCGTGATAGTTTCAAACATGGAATGAAGTTAACTAGCATGGGAAATATCAATATTCACCTCTTTAAAAGAACTATCCTGCTAATAAGCATTTTAAATTCCCCCCCCCCGTTTTAAATTTGCCTACTATACAAATATATATACAGAAGCTTTTGTTTAAACTGCAGAATCAATATAAATCTTTAACTCTTTGATAAAGGATATACTCTCAAATGCTGTCCTCCTCCAAAATTTCATTAAAGTTATTTTAAAAAGAGAAAAAATGTGGAATCTAAGAAATGATGTGAACTGAAGTTCTCTACTCCAATGGAAAGTGTCCTTACTTTATCCTGTTAACTAGTTATGTATGGTCCAGGTATAGGAAGAGGCAAGTTAGTAAATCAGTTTTCACCTAAAAAGCGTATGCCTTTTTGAAGCTCTTATATCCACTTTTTCTGTCTGCCAAATTCCAGACAGCCAACTTCTCTGAATCTGTTATAATCACATACATCATCCATTTTTCATGAAGACTTCACATGGACTAGAGAAAGGAAAAGATAGGACATTCAACTAAAGTCACTGAGCTGGTTATAATGTTTAGCATAACCAGTGGCTCTCGTTTAGCTTATATGCATTCTTTACCAACAAGTCACCAAGAATCTGCTAAAACCATACTATACCTAATACAAATGTATATTCCTTCTAGAACAATTGTTTCTATACTGTAAACTAGTTAGGTTGTTTTATAAGGGACACTTTAAAAAATTCATAATTAATCTGGTTTGTTTTCCAACATGAGCTAAAATTAGACATTTCATTCAAGTGTACTATTACCCTGGTAAACATTTTTAGACACTTAGAGAAGAAATAAATGTACTCTGTGGTTTTTGTAAGAATGTTTCCTATGGAAATCATGGAATAGTATCACTGGTGTACAGCCACCATCTGTCATAGAATCTACATGGTAACCTATAGCCTCGTTAAAAAAATTTAGCATGCACGTTTCATAATGAAATGAATGAATGGTACATTCTACCTCAGTGATATGTGATATAATGCTAATTCCTAAAAGGATTATGTGTCTTGTTCCCTCACAGTGAATGCTGTTAAAAAAAAAGAAAATTTGCAATGCTCAAACAAAATGCAATTAGTATGTTTTTGATGAAATATGGATAAAAAAAGATCACTGAAATTCCAGATAATGAATTGCTACTGTAGCATCTTTACTAAATCCTTTCTGCCCTTAAAAAACAATAAATGATTTCCTTATAATAAGCCTTAATGCATGTTCCACAACTACATTTGCTACAACAGGAATGTTGGTACCTCCTTTAGTTTTGGTGACAGACACTACACTGATAGCAAATGTTCAAATACAGGGCAATGACCAAGGCAATGTCTGGAAAAAAAAACCAAAACACTTTAATTTTTAAGACAACTGCAAGCACCTCAAACAATGGATTATTGTTACAACACTTGTTAGCTTTTCACAATCTAGTTATTGCAAAGGCATATGGATAAATGTTAATGGACAAAGTCAAAAACGAGGCACCTTAATGAATGTAAAATTTAAAATAAAAAGACATTCAATCCACTGACTTCTAAAAGAGGCTAAATATACCTCTATATATTACATTCTAAAATTGTATTGCCTACTATGGTTTGTGTCCTGGATTCTACAATTTTAAGGAAATGTATAAACAAAACTGTGTACAACCTGCAAAGGGAAAATCATTTTCTCAACTTCAATTCATGGAAAGACAATGCAAAAGCTTAGTAAAAAGTCTGTCGTAGCCACACATAAAGCTGCCCATGGAATGAATGTGGTCACTGTTACCTTGGAGCTAAGGAGTATTCTGCCCACTGCATTGCAAACTATATACCATACCTTGTGTTTATACAAACACGATCATGCTTTTCCAAAAATATATATAATTTTTTTCATTCCACACACTGAACATGTTTCTCTTGTCCAATTTAATCTACGTAGAGTTTAACTTAACAGTGCTTGGAGGAAGCAACACCACATGGTACCGGGCCATCACATTTTTAAAGGGAAATCACTTTTTCTTTAAAATTACTTTTAAAAATACGCAAAAATACGAATGGGACTGCCTAATTATAATACATATTTTAGAATGAAAAGCATGTCTTTTCTTCTTTTAAAGTGCCATACAGGGAATGACATCTTGTAACCCAGAGCCACTTTGTTTAAAATCCAATGTAAAAGGACTGTTATGGAATGAAAAGTTTGCACAACTCCTTGGAGCAGTTAAAGTCTGCTACATGCAACATAGGCTACAAAGCACTCAAGACTTGGTAGCTTTTCTGAAATTTGAGTCCCCATCCCATATTTAATGGAAATTAACATTTACAGGGTGCATTTACATACACTATAATACAGGAATGATGTCCCTTTGCCAGAAGATAAAATTGTACATTTCCTTGCTATTTCCTGGTTCCAACTTGATAATTTCTTAAGATTGTAAATTATATAGTACTCAGCTAAAATATTTCTTCATAAATAGTTACAAAACCTGCCAAAACACAAACGGGAAAGTATTTTTCGTTCAAAAAAAATGATATTTGAATGTCACACAACACAAGAAACAATGCTTAGAGACATGTTATTGTTTCCAGAAGAAAATGGTCAGTAAACTACTTAGCTGAAGACAAAAGACTACCCTTCCCCAGGATCACAGTGCACAAAAAGCAAAATGTCAAACAACAGTACCTCAAAGCAAAATAAAGGTCTGAGGATGAAGCCAGCTCACTTGTAATCCTGATAAAGAATGAGAGTCACCGTTTAGGTCCAATGTACTGGGAACATTTGCTAGCTCAGAATGCTATATTGGTAGAATATGCTAAGAATTCAACCAAGGATGCCGAAGGCATTCGCCAGCTGATGCTCGTTTTTCTGGAACCATTTCTAACATCGGGATCAGGAAATCTGTAAACTGTGCAGCATCTTCATGGGGCCAGCCGTACTTTTCCACAAGTACATCAAAGAGGCTCCAGGGCTTCAGCTTGGTAATGTGCCGCAGTTCTCCTACAGGGGAAAAACAAGCCAATGTCAAAAAAACTCCAAATTTGTATTTCCCATTGTCGGCCCAGCCAGGTTCTTTTCAATGAAGCAGACAACCTACCTGCTCAACGCTTTATGGCACAACAAAGGCCAGCATTCCCCTAAGCGATAACCCCTAAGCAATAATCATTAAATATACCCATGTCATATTTCAAGTAAGCCTGGCAGACGTAGATAGGGCTTAATGATGTCCAGAATGTTTTCACTTCCAAAGGCTGAGAGAGCCACTCTCACACTTCAGCTTGAGATCTGTTGCAATCTGCAGACTTGCTTAGAAACAGCTGTAAGATATATAACCATTTGAACTCCTTCCAGGACTGGGGAACCTGCAGCTTCAAGGCCACCTCCAGATACCCAAATGCAGCCCCTCAACCAAATCCAAACTTCACAGAACAAAACCTTTTATTAAAATTTGGATTCAGTCAAAAGGCTGCAATGAAGGATCCAGAAAGCCACATGTGGCTCCAAGGCCATAGGTTCCCCAAGAGAACTTTCTGTGATAACAGAGATGTATTATAGATCTGCACTGTCCCATATGGCAGCCACTAGTAAAATGTGGCCAGTGGACACTAGAAATGTAGCTATTGTGACTGAAGAGTTTTAAGTTTTAATGTTCATTTTGTACAAATTTAAATAGGCACAAGCAGCTAGTGGCTGCTGTACCAGACAACTGGAGGCCAACCCAAATCAAGCAACATTCGTGTCTACATGTTTTTTATAAAATCTAAGATTCCAGGACATTAATTTGTAAACTTTAAAATTATACTTTTCAAAATAGGCTAGCTGTGGGTTACAGGCAGCTTTGACTGATATAATAGAATGACTAACAAGCTAATAAGTGGCCTAGGAACTGAATGGCCCTTTTAATAACACACAAAAAAGTTATTTTTAAGTCAAACTGATTGCTAAAAGGTCAGGATAACTTCCATTATGAATAACTCATTTTCTCTGCCTGTTTGAAATTTTCACAGGACATCCCACCCCTGCCCATAGAGAGACGTCCTTGGGAGCCCCTCAAAGTGCAACCTGCGCCATCCAGAGGACAGAGGATGGGCCGCACCACGCCCATGCCCCAAGCCACCCTCGGAGTCCTGTAGCCACAGGCAGCCAGGTCTCAGAGGGGAGGGTAGCTGTGTCCAAGCACCTGCGCAGCACACCT